TATAATGTTTTTTTTTTTTTTACTGTTATGTTCAGATTGTGTTTTGTTTTTGATCTGTGCAGATATTTATTTTATTGCTTTGGTTTGTCTTTGTTTGTAGTCTTACAGAAGTTTGTTCCTTATTGTGTAATTCATGTCATTGGTACTACATGTTTATTTGACTGGTAGATTTGGAGGCATTCATATTCCAGGCCATTTATGCCATTGAGTATTTAACTTACTAATTTTGTTAGGTCGTAGATTGGTTTGTTCAAAAGGCATTACAAGGACTCATGTCTGTGTACTCCTGGGATATGCAGGAGTCTGAGACAATGAATGAGCAGGTTATGTGGCTACAAAAGCAAAGAACACTCATAATCAATAAGGTTGACATTCTGAAGGCCATATATGAACAGATCCTGGTAGAAGATGCAATGTTAGATAAAAGAAATACAATTTAAGGTTTGAGTGAATTTACTATGTTGATTCTTAAATCTGCAATAAATAATCAGTAATAGTTCAGAAATGGGTGAAAATTGAATAACTCAATGGTAATAATTGTCATTTATTGAATTAACATTTGCAGAAAGATGAAATAAATGAACTACTCTCACAGCTGGCAAACCTTGAAGGACAACTGACTGAGGCAAATCAATGTCTGAATGAAGCAAAGGAAAGCCTGACACAAACAGAGGAGCAGAAGGTTAGTATGGTGGGCTTGCATGCACCTGCATGGGGATCCATTGATATTGGGAATCATCTTCTTCTTCTTCGCCTTCACCAACTGTACGGAAAGTTCTGGTTGTTCATCCACACCTGGAATGCAATCCTGCTCCAGAACCTGAGTGTTGTGTGTGCATCAGTTTTACAGATCTGATTCACTTGAATGCAGACTGTTGGTTCCTTGCCTCTCAGGCAGATGCACTCTGACTTCAAAGGAAGCTACCAATTAGTCGACTCTTACAACATGCTTTTTGGTAGGCTGTGGGTCTATTCTTGTTTTCCCCCACAATGGGGCCCCGGATACCACACAGGGTATATTGGGAATGTTATTTATGATTGATGATGTGAGGAAACAACAAACGAAGTGTCTTTATTTTCAAAGGGTCACAAATTGGGCACGCAGGCCCGTCTTACATTCAGGCCCTTCCAAACACAAATCTTTCATACAGCCAGAGTTTAGTTCTTATTTTAGGAGATGAAGGATTTGTTTTTTTCTGACCTGTGAGGCTCTAATGTGGTGCCATTTTAACACTTCATTTAAAACACGCTTGGGAAAGTACAAGCAGCCAGCATAAAACTTAAACTGTCTTCTAGCAGTGCTAAATCACACTGTCTTCTAGCAGTGCTAAATCACACTGTCTTCTAGCTGTGCTAAATCACACTGTCTTTTAGCTGTGCTAAATCACACTTGTCTTCTACCTATGATAAATCACACTGTCTTCTAGCTATGCTATATCACACTGTCTTTTAGCTGTGCTAAATCACACTGTCTTCTAGCTGTGCTAAATCACACTGTCTTCTAGCAGTGCTAAATCACACTGTCTTCTAGCTGTGCTAAATCACACTGTCTTCTAGCAGTGCTAAATCACACTTGTCTTCTACCTATGATAAATCACACTGTCTTCTAGCTGTGCTAAATCACACTGTCTTCTAGCTGTGCTAAATCACACTTGTCTTCTACCTATGATAAATCACACTGTCTTCTAGCTGTGCTAAATCACACTGTCTTCTAGCTATGCTAAATCACACTGTCTTCTAGCAGTGCTAAATCACACTTGTCTTCTACCTATGATAAATCACACTGTCTTCTAGCTGTGCTAAATCACACTGTCTTCTAGCTGTGCTAAATCACACTGTCTTCTAGCTGTGCTAAATCACACTGTCTTCTAGCAGTGCTAAATCACACTTGTCTTCTACCTATGATAAATCACACTGTCTTCTAGCTGTGCTAAATCACACTGTCTTTTAGCTGTGCTAAATCGCATTGTCTTCTAGCTGTGCTAAATCAAGTCTTCTAACTATGCCAGATCACACTGTCTTCTAGCTGTGCTAAATCACACTGTCTTCTAGCTGTGCTAAATCACACTGTCTTCTAGCTGTGCTAAATCACACTGTCTTCTAGCTGTGCTAAATCAAGTCTTCTAACTATGCCAGATTACACTGTCTTCTAGCTGTGCTAAATCGTCTTCTAACTATGCCAGATCACACTGTCTTCTAGCTGTGCTAAATCAAGTCTTCTAACTATGCCAGATCACACTGTCTTCTAGCAATGCTAAATCACACTGTCTTCTAGCTGTGCTAAATCACACTGTCTTCCCGGTTGTGCTAAATCAGTCTTCTAACTATGCCAAATCACACTGTCTTCTAGCAATGCTAAATACACTGCCTTCTAGCTGTGCTAAATCACAGTCTTCTAGCTATGCTAAATCACAGTCTTCCATCTTTGCCAAATCACAGTCTTCTATCTATGCTAAATCGCAGTCTTCTATCTATGCTAAATTACATTGTCTTCTAGCTGGGCTAAATCAATCTTTTCTTGCTGTGCTAAATCACACTGTCTTCTAGCTGTGCTAAATCACACTGTCTTCTAGCTGAGCTAAATCACAGTCTTCTAGCTATGCTAAATCACAGTCTTCTAGCTATGCTAAATCACACTGTTTTCTAGCTATGCTAAATCACACTATCTCATGACTGCGCTAAATCACACTATCTTATGACTGCTAAATCACACTATCTTATGACTGTGCTAAATCACACTATCTCATGACTGCGCTAAATCACACTATCTTATGACTGTACTAAATCACACTATCTTATGACTGTGCTAAATCAAACTATCTTATGACTGCTAAATCACAATATCTTATGACTGTGTTAAACCAAACTGTCTTATGACTGTGTTAAATCACACTATCTTATGACTGTGTTAAATCACACTATCTTATGACTGTGCTAGATGACACTATCTTATGACTTTGCTAAATCACACTGTCTTATGACTATGTTAAATCACACTATCTTCTAGACGTGCTAAATCCCACTGTCTTATAACTGTGCTAAATCACACTATCTTCTAGCTGTGCTAAATCACACTGTCTTTTAACTGTGTTAAATCACACTATCTTTTGGCTATGCTAAATCCCACTGTCTTATAACTGTGCTAAATCACACTATCTTCTAGCAGTGCTAAATCGTAACTATCATTGGTACCTCAGCATTAGGAACTGAAGGCTTTCTTTGCCAGTGGAATAACCTGGATCAGCTAGCAGCTTGAGGAATCACTAGCAGTCTGATCACTGGAAGTGTGTTTTGGACACATTTTTCTCCATTATCGTTCTCCATTTCTTCCATTGTTCTCTTTGGATTATTTAGCTGCAGCATCCAATTTCATTCTGTTGGTAAACTGTTTTATGTGCTTGTTGGGATGTTTTTTTTGTGGGTGATGTTTACTATTTCAGTAAAAGAATTCTTGGATATGATGACTGTCATTGTGACATCTTCCATCAGATGTCATTGTCTGGCCTGGATCTTTATAGATGTTAATATGCCTGATATATTTTTTTTTTTAGCTGTAGATCAGGTTTAAAGATAGTGTTGTAGTTGATGTATACTGCTTTCTTGTTAATCTCTGGTGTTGTATTTAAATTACTTTTTAAATAGTTAATTCTGAGCATAACAGATTATCTGGTATGAGCAATCTGCCTTTGACTCCACAGGCAATTTTCTTTTCTACCCTCTTCTTTCTCCAATGTCTCATTTTCTTTTCCCACTCCTCTTTTATTTTGCTGCCTCCTCCTTTCCCTCTGTTTCTTCTCCTTCTTGAAATCGGCTAAGAACTTTTAGAGTGCCTTGCTCCAGTTTACATGATCATTGCAGTATTTGCATATAAAAACTTCCGGCTTCAACACAGCGCATTATCATTTTGGGTTCATATTACCTGCTCTTTACCTTCTCATTACCATCGTTGCCTCACCAGATAGGTAAAGATTTTGGCAATACAAAAGTATTTTGCATACTAAATGCCCACATGTGTTTGGTCATCAGACAAAGAATGTGGCATCAATTTTGAAGTGACTTTTTTAATTGCCCAAATCTTCTTTCACTTATACTTTACAGATTGTCTCTAAACATAAAATTGCCTAGTAAAACCTCATGACAGCCAATAAATGCTGGGATTGCTTTGCAAAGTCCTAAAAAAACATAGGCAGCTAACTTTTGCCACTTACTACTATTTTGGGTTTGGTCTGTCGACAAAATTCTAAGAAAATTATTTTTTCCTAAAATTACTATCTCAGAAACTGAGTGTGGCCTATACATGGGTAAATATGGTATATGCTTTTATACCGGAAGCAAAATGAAAGAGGAAAATAATTTGACGTTATTGAGTAACCGAAAATGTGTTGTGCCTTTTTACAGCATAACTTCCACCCTGTGTATTCTTTTTCTTATTCTTCATGATCACCAGTTAATTCCAGCGCAAAGCTCTGGTTGTTCATCCACTTCTGTACTTTAGTTTTCTTTCAGAACTTGAGATAGATCTGGCTTTTTATGTACAGAATATTGGTTCCTCGGCTCTCAGGCAGATGCATTTCAACTTGGAAGGCAACACCCCTAATTAGTCACCTTTTATGACATACTAGTTGTGGGGGAGGAGGGGGCAGTGGGTCTTTTCTGCGATTCTTCCCCCAAAATGGGGCCCTGGAAACCACACAAGGACCCTCAAGTATTAACAAGTAACGCTTTCTTATAGGCTGTTTGCATAACATGTAATGAGCATCTGTCTGCTGGGGATAACTATTAATTTTCAATGCCATACAAGCTTTATCTGTGTATCATAACTAGTTTGAGGATTTGTATTTACTAACTCTCCAGCCTAACTCTTTTGGTACCAGAGGATAGTTAAATTGTTTATAAATCATTGCATGATATGTTCCTCGGTACCCAAAGAGTTAAGTATTTACAGTTAAGCTTGCTTGTAACAGGGGTTGTAGGACAGCCTATTTTGTTTGCAGGTTGATATGAATGCCGAGCTGGTATCCACCATGGAGAAGGCAGCCATGCTTGAAGAGCAGGTAATTCTGCTGAAGACAGAGAAGCTGATGTTGGAAGAGCAGATAGCAACTCTGAAGTCAGATCTCTCTGCTAGCCAGTCTCAGCTGGAGTCCAACACTGAGAAAGTAGCCAGTCTTCAGAACCTGGTGACCATCTTGACAGAAGAAAAGGTGCAGCTACAAGAGCAGATAACTGCTTTGAAAACGGATCTCACACTTAGTCAGTCCGAACTGGAGGCCTCAAATATGCAGCTTGAGGCCTTAAAAGATGAGCTGGGTGGAGAAATTGACAAGTTACGGGCTAAGAATCAGATGCTTGTTGATGACTTGTCCGAAAAGGCTGCATCTTTAGAAAAAGTTACCAGTGAGTTGAAAACTGTCAAGGGGGAGAGTTTAGTTCTGCAGACATCTTTAGTGGAAAGCAAAACTTGTTCTCAAGAGCTTGAGCTTCAGGTAAAGCAGCTGATGAGAGAGATTGACATGACCAAAGAGGGACAGAATGAGCAAGGGAAAGAATACTCTGACAAACTACAGACATTACTTACTCAGCTCACAGAACTGGAAAATGAGCTCAGTGCTCAGCAGAAACATTCCTTTGAACAGCAAGAACACATTTCAGAACTGTCTGCTAATTTACAACGCAAAGAGAACGAGTTTAAGTCTGTTTGTGAAAGTTTAGAAGTCTTGAAACAAACTCTTGGAGCAGTACAGTTAGAACTTGGTGAAAAGGATGGTGAGTTGAAGGCAGCATTGGACAGTTTAGAGTTAGAAAAGACAGCTAGACTTAAGCTTGAAGATCAAATGGCAGATATTTCCAGTGAGTTTACTAATGTGAAAGAAACTCTTTCTGCAAGAGAGGCAAGTATAAAGTCTTTAGAGGAAGATAAAAATAGTTCTCTAGAATTATTGAACTTGGCCTTAGCTTCTGTGAAAGCTGAACTTGAAAGTGTGCTTCAGGAGAACAGTGAGCAGAGGTCAGTGTTAGAAAATAAAGATTCTGAATTGTTGATGTTAAGGCAGAGTTGTGATCAGCTGCAGCAGCAGGTTTCTACATTATCTTCTGAACTTGATGCTTCCAGTGCTTCAGTAGCAGAACTTCAAGCTTCTAATGAAAATCTCCAAACACAGGTGACCGGCTACCAGGAACAATTTGCTATGACAGCACAGTCGTTTGATGAAGATTTGAAACATGCCAAGCATCTCATCGAAAGTCTTCAGAAGGAAAAAGAATCTTCGAAACACCTAATTGCATCCTTAGAGCAACAGTTGACAAGTTTGAAGATTGAGTTAGAAGAGACACTTAGCGCCAGTGCCGAGAGGGATACTCAGATTTCAGTGCTGAATATGGCCTTGTCAGACCAGGAGCAGCACCGGGACAGCCTGCAGGCCGCCCATCTGAAGCTCCAGGCAGAAAAAGAGCAGCTGAACCAGCAGGTGAGGACTGTATGTGAAAGTAATCAGCTAGCTTTACAGAATGTTTCTCATCTGCAGTCATTGCTTGACTCTTTACAGTCTGACAAGCATGCACTTCAGTCCTCCATAGACTCACTAACTGCATCACTAGAAGAGAAGACTTTGCTTTTAGAGTCCCTTTCTGATAAATGCAACACCTTGGAGCAGTCTGTGTCACAGAAAGAGCATGAATTCTCAGAATTGTTTCCTAAATTGTCCAGCTTACAATCCTCTTTAGATGAGAAGCATGCTGATTGGCTGTCCAAATGTGAGTCTTTTGACAGTTTGCAAGTTGTCTATAACCAAGAGCATGAGAAGTTAGTGTTATGCTCTCAGTTGTTAGAAAAGCTAGAGTATGAGCACCAGCATGCACAAGAGTACATTAACACTTTGCTGACAGATGTTGATACCGAGCATAGTCATTTTGTTGTTGTCTCAGAGAAGTGTAAGTCCCTTGAGGATAGCTTGGCTTGGAATACAGATGAGGTTTTGAGATTAACTGAGTCACTGAAAGCCATGGAGGATCAGTTTCATAATTTGGAAACAGATTCTGATAGCAAGTGTAGGTTACTCAATGAGAAGATTCTTGCCTTGACCTTTGAGGTTGAACATGAAAAAATGAAGAGCTCTGATTTAGTTCTGCAGCTTGAAGATTCAAAAGTGGAAGTGGCAAATTTAGAAAAGAAATTAAGAGTTCAGCTTGAGGAAAAGATCAATGAGATTGATTCATTACAAAGTCTGCTTGCATACAAGGAATCACAAAACCAACAAATGTTAACAGAACTTCAGGATAAAGATGTTTCATTAAGTGACTTATCTGCTGAGTTACAGCAACACATTTCAACCATTGAAGATTTAAACCACAAGTTGGAGTCATCTTCAGCAGAAGTAACAACACTTAGGTCTGTCTTAGAAGAAAAGACAGCACAAGTGACAGAATTACTTTCACAGACAGACATACTCACTGCTGATAAATTCTTGCTGATCGCACAGCTGGATATAAATAGTAAAAGATTAGCTGAGGCCAATTCCCATATGGAGGAAAAGACTTTGAGATTGGACACATTAAATTCCCAGGTAAAGGAGCTACAGATGCAACTTCTGGATCATTCTCAGCAGTTACAGGACAAAGACCTGCAGCTTGAGGAAGTCAGGGGGCATTTAGCAACAACATCTTCGCAGCTTGACGAGGCAAATACTCAACTTAGTAGTTCTGCAGCTGATGTAACAGAGTTGAGGACCCTCTTGCAGAATCAGAGTGAGCAGGTAAAGTCAGCAGAAAATGACTTCAGTAATCTGATCAGCCAGAAGGAGGCCTTAGAAAGGGAATTCTCAGATTTAGTTGTCAAATATGAGGTTGTTCAAAAGGAAAATGAAGTTCTTCGGAAGAATCTTGATGAGGAAAAGTCTGACAAAGCCAGCGTAGATGAGAAACTGAAACTAACATCTGAGGAGCTTTTGAAACTTACACACCAGTTAGAAAGAATCACTACTGAATGCCAAAACCTTAATGATCAGCTTGTCTGTAAACATCTTGAACTTGCCACGTGGACTGAGAAACATGCAAATGTATGTGAAGATTTCAAGAATCTGTCAGATCGTTTTGAAAATCTGCTCCAAGATAACCAGCATGCACTGAGAACAGTTAAGGAGCTTGAACAACAGGTAGGATCACTATCAGCTGAAAAAAGTGCCTTATTACAAGACTGTGAAGCAAGTCAACTGCTTCTTACCTCGTGTAGATCTGATTTTGAGACTCAGCTTCAGGAAATGAATGCTGTTATTTCTAGTGCTGTTTTAAATTTGCAAGATCTGTGTTCATCCATTCCATACTCTTCCAGTGAAAATGTTCCGGACTCTCTTGAAAGTATTATTTTGTTTGCTAAGCAGAACATTTGCTTGTTAAATGAGAGACTAGCGGCAAATGAAGCAGACATTGAAAGGCAGCTCTTGGAGGTGAAAGACCTGAAGGAAGTACTCAATGACAGAGACCTGGAGGTTAGTATGTTAAAGGAGCAAGTGAAAGTTTCTGAGGCTGCACTCGAAGAAGAAAGGAGTGGTTTTCAGTATAAGCTGGACAAAATGCAGTCAGTATTTGGAAAACAGGAAGAAGAAATAAAATACTTGAAAGAGTCTCTTGCACTCAGTTCTTCATCCAGTGATGAGCAGATCACAAGCTTAAGAAATCTTTGTGAGAGTCAACAAAAACAGATTGTTGAGCTTACTGAGAATGTTTTACAGCTGAGTTCTTTTAAAGTCACTTTAGAAGAGAAACTTGAAGGTGAAACTTTATTAAAGGAGATAAGCCAAACAAGTTTGGATGAACTGAAAAGGTCCCATCAGGAAATAATAACTGTCCTTAACCAGACTCTGGAAGAGAAAGAGAAACTTAAGAAAGAACTACAGATTGTTTTAGAGAAAACAAAGTTTATAGAAGATAAACACAGGATTACTGAAGACAAATTTCAAGCTGAAGTAGGGTTTCAGAAAAGTGAGAATGAACGATTACATAAAGATCTGGAGGCATCTTCTAGTGCCCTCAGTGCCCTCAGGAGTGAAATAGAGAGCATGCATCAGTTGGTGGATCAACTCAGAAGCAGTCTGACAACAGCTAATGCAGAAAGTGCTGGATTTGAAGAGGCTCTTGAAGCAGCCAACAAAAATATTTATACTCTGGAGGCTGAAAATACACACTTGCAGAAATCTCTGGACCATCTGCAGAACATGCTGGATACTCTTCAGCTTCAGATGACAGAAACTGTGGAGTCACTAAAGGTTTTGGTAGAAGATAAAACAAGAAGGATATCAGAGCTGGAAATGGAGATTGAGCAGAGGAACCAGATGATAACCAACTTAGAAGAGAGCAGTAATAACCAGAATGATGTAATAATACAGCTTCAGAGACAAATTGAGGTCAGTGTGTCAGCTCTGCAACGTGCTGAGGAAGGCAAGGAACTACTTGACCTGAAGGTTCAGACTTTGCTAAACTCTTTACAGGAAGCTGCAGAAGAAAAAGAAAGCATTCAGAAAGATTATGAGCAACAGCAGAAGGTTTTAAACATTCAGCTTTCAGCATTTAGTTTTTCACAGCAGAGGGTTATGGAACTTGAAGAGGAGCTCGGAGCATCAGTCCAGCAATGCAAAAATGCTCAAGAAGATCTCAGTTTGGTACAGAACAAGTTGGCTTCCCTGGAGGAGTCACTTAGTATTGTCACTGCAGCGAAGGAAGAGCTTCAGAAGGAAATTAAGAAACAGAGCTTGACAGTCCAAGAAAGAGATGAGCAATTTGAACAGTCCCAGAAAAGATTAACAGAAGTGGAACATGAACTTTGTGGAAAATTGGAAGAACTAAAACAAGCAGAGCAACGTTTGGAGGACATTTCAGCAGAGTTGTCACAAAAATCAGAGGACTACAACAGAGTCAAAGAGGCTTTGGAGGCAAGTGATAACCTCAGCAGTTTGCTGCAGCAACAGCTTGAGGACCTAACGGTGAAGTTGGATAGTACGGCTGAAGTTTTGAAAACAAAGCAGGAGACTGTTGACCTGCTGCAACATGAACTGGCTGAAGTCACTGAGAAACTGCACACTGTGGAAGCAGAACTTGAAGTAACAAAAGTAGCTTGTGAAAGTGAAAGGCAGACAACAAGCACTGTAATGGCGGACTTTAAACATTTTAAAAATGATTTGGATTTGAAGCAGGAAGCTTTGGTGAAAGTAGAACAGTTGTTGTCTGAAGCTAATCGAGAATTAGAAAGAAAATGTGCAGAAAACAGTGAGAAGCAGTTAGAGCTGGAGAAAGAAAAAATTAATTGTAAAGAACTGTTGGATTCTCTACAAAGAAAGACAGAAATGTATGAGCAATTGTCTGCTGAACTGTTAAAAACACGGAGAGCTTTGGAAACAGATTTGCATGATGTGACAACAGAGCTAGAAAAAAAGACAACAGAACTGGATAATCACATTGCGGAATGTAATACTGCTAGAAAAAACAGTGAGACTTTGCTGGAAGAGCTTAATGAAAGACATAAAAATGATATAGTAACAATAGAAGAGTTGAACAACAAAATTAATGCATTAGAAGAGGATATGCAGATAGGAACAGAGAAGCTTCTATTAGCACTGACAGACACAGAAGCTAAATATAAAGAACTGCAAGAAAGATATAAGGCTTTATGCCATGATCAGGATCAGAAGGCCAGTCTTGTCCCAGAGCTCAATCAGCGTTTGTTAGTTGTGCTAGAGAACCTGAAAGAGAAAGAATCTGATATGATCAATTTGGCCGAAGAAAAATCTCATCTGGAGAAAAGCTGTGCACAAGCACAGAAACAAATAGCTGATTTAGAAGAAACAAAAGTGAATATCAGTAATTGTGTAGAAGAACTGAGGAACACCATAGAAAGTTTAACTTCGGAAACAGAACAGTTGAAAGATCAACTGATAGAGAAGCACAATTATTCAAATGAGTTGTCAAAAACGCTGTCAACTCTCCAGAGTGAATATGATGAATACAAACTCGCGTCGACAGTAGGGCAATCTAACATACAAGATAAATTGGAAGAAGAGGCTAGAAAGCTTGAACAGGCTAAAACAGAAACAGAACACTACAAAATGATTGCAGAGGAGCACCAAAGAAGTTCAACAGACAAAGATCTTCAGATTGAAATATTGCAGGAGCATACTTCTTCTATTTCTCTGTCTTATTTTTCGGAACACTCATGTGTGTCCAGGCTTGTTAAGGAAAGACAAACACTCAATGGCCAGCTAAGAAAGTTAGAGGAAGCCAAAAGACACTTGGAGGTCGAAATGGACAGTAGAAATGAAGCACTGTTTGACATTAAAGCAAAGTTGAATGAAGCTCTGAACAGCTTGCAGGAATGGAAGGAAAAGAGAGAAGCACTGAATGCAGAGAATGAGGCTCTGAAGATACAGCTTGATAAGGAGAAGGAAGAGGTACGTAAACATTTGGATGCAATTGACTTGCTGAAAAGATCATTATTAGCTGAACAAGAAACAGTCCGAGAGCTTCGTAAACAGAAAAGTGAAGTTGAAAATGAATTAACAGAGAAGCAAGTAGATTTGAATGATCTAGAAATCCTTGTCAAGGATATAAGAAACAAGCTTCAAGATAAAAGCGGTACCTTGGAAACAGTTTTGAAACTCAAGCAGGAAGTCTCTGAGCAAGCAGATAATTACATACATGAGTTGGAAGAAACTAAGAACCAAGTACTAAGTTTACAGAACCAGTTGTCCAAAGCGCAGACTGTAAATAAAGAGTTGGCAGCTGCCAATAGTAATTTACAGTCAGTTGTTGACAAACTGCAAGAAGAAAAGGATACCTTGAAGTCAGTACACGGAGAACAAATAACTGAGCTGCTTTTGAAGGTAGATGAACATTCTGCACATAAAACAATTCTGGAAAAACAGAAAAGAGAAATGGAAGAAAGGAATACCGAATTAATTCAACAAGTGAGTTCACTTCAGCAGTCTGTTAAGTCATTAGCAGTAGAGAAAGAGGTGTTGTGTGCTAACAGTGAAGAGAGAAGGGAACATTTGAAGAGCATTGAGGGAGATTTGCAAGAAAATGTGCAGCGTGTTGCTGAGTTAGAGCAGCTTTGTTTGGCTAAAGATAGTATTGTTGTTACTCTACAGAACACGGTGGCAGACCTGCAGTCACAAACAGAAGCACTTAATAAAGACAAGGATCATATTGTGGAAGAGAAGGATGCGAGAATTTCCTCACTGCAGTCAGAGTTTGATTCCCTTGCTGCTGAGCATGCACAGTTTAAGGAAGAAATGGAAGCCAGGTTCGAAGACCTGCAAAAGACAGCTAACTTCCTGAGTTCTCAACTTGACCTCAAAGATCAAGAGTTGCAGCATACACTGAATGACAGAAATGAAATGGAAGCAACTCTGATCTCTTCTGTCACTTCTTTGCAATCTCAGCTAAGAACTGTTACTCAAGAAAAGTTGCAGTCTGACGAGGATAATAAAGTTATAACATCATCTTTACAGAGTGCAGCTGATGTATTGAGATACGAGCTGGAGAAACTGACAGAGAAACAGGAAGAGCTACAGCAAACAAAATCATGTGAGGTGCAGAATCTGCAAAACCAAATTTCTTCTTTACAAGAACAGGTGACTGCTTTGATTACAGAAATTACCAAGGAAAGGGAAGACAGTTCACAGTTGCTGGCGAAGAATCAAGAATTAATTAACAGTATTAAGGAATTTCAGAACCACAAACTTCAGCTTGAAGATGCAAAAGCAGCATTATCTCAGGAACTGGCTACTGCTGAAGGAAAAATAAACCAGCTGGAAGAAAAGAATGAGGAGTTATCTGACAACTTGACAGTGTCTTCAGACAAGTTGAAAGATGTGTCAGTGCACTTGCATGACACAATTGAGCATATGCAGTCTTTCATAACAGAACAGAATACAATTATAGCAATGCTTCAGGAAGATTCATTGAAGCAGCAAGATAATGAACACACTCTACTGGCCATCACTGCATCCTCTCAAAGGTTGATTGCTGATGGCAAGAAGAAGATTAGGGACTTACGCGAACAGCTGGACCGTGTTGTGAAAGAAAATGCCGACTTGTTACGGCAGAAAGAAGCCATTCTGAGGCAGTTAGATGAGGCTACAGAAATGTTTCATGAAATGTCCCAAGAGAAATTGAAGGTTGAACATTCGCTGAGTGATTCTTTACAGGCAACAGTGGACAGGGCATCAAGAGAACTGGCAGAGAAGGAGGAAGCCAATGCCAAGTTGCAGAAGGAATTGGATTCACTAAAGAGTCAGACAGATGAAAATCAGAACCAGGTGTTTTCCTTAAGTGAACAGCTCAGAAGTGCTAATGAAGAGCTTGAAAAGTTGGTACATATTCACAACCAAGAGTTAGAGGAAGAAAAAGAGAAATGTTTAATGACAGCAAATGAACTCCTTAAACTCAAACAAGAGAACATAGAACTGGAAACAAACCTGAAAAGTAAAGAGGAGGAATATCAATTGAAACAGACTAAATATGAGAACACGATCCTAGACCTGCAGGCTCAGATTTCACATTGCAACCTTGATCTGCAAGAAGCCAATGAGAGCCTAAGTAAAACGGAGAATGAGAAAACAGTTCTTGAAACAGATATAGCACAGCTTCAGACACAATTGGAAGAGAAAACACAGCAGATCTTCAAGCTCCAGACTGATATCATCAACCTACAACAAGACTTGCAAGAGAAGGTAGAGTCTGTTGCAGCTCTGCAAGAAGAAAGTGTCAGATCACAGAGTGAGTTAGAAAATTTGCAGATGATGTTGGAGTCAGAAAGCTTTAAAGCCGAAGGATCCATGAGAAGTAATTTGGCAGAAATTAGCAGTTTGAAGAACGCTTTAGCTGAACAAGCTGAGGAAATTTTACAAGCAGATTTAAAATATGCTATGTTAACCTCTCTTCTGGAGGAACAATGTGAGAAACTTGTCTCTTTAGAAACCCAGTTCCTTATTGAGAGACAAATCTTGGCAAACACAAAAGCTTCTAACAAGGATCAAATTGCAAAATTTGAAACACAATTAAAACTATCTGAAGAGGAAAAGACGAGGTTGTTAGAGCTGTCTTCTGAAATAGAGATGGAGTCCAGCAGACTTAGGCAACAAATTATGGAATTAGAATGTCAGTTAGAAGGGAAAGATGTAGAGTTAAGCAATCTTAAATTTCAGTACAATTCTGTCAATGATTCCTACTGTGAACTGACCACCGAGCTGAAAGATCTGAAAACTATTCTTCAAGAGCACAAGAAGTCTTATCTTGATTCAGAGAAGGCTATTGCTGCCCTGGAGAACCTGCACCAGGAGAAGGAGGCTAGAGTTCGAGAATTGAGTACACAGCTGGAGTCATCTCATCAGCATGTCGAGGCAGTACAGAGTGAGCTGGGAGAATCCATTTCTGAAATTACACGCAGAGGGGCCGCAATAGGAGATCTGGAGTCGGAGATACACAATTTACTCAGAGCTAAAGGCATGGCCGAAGCAGAGATCAAGAAAATGAAAGAATCATGCAGAGAACTCCAGATGATGGTAGAAATACTCAGAGAAGAAAAGCAAAACAACGATCACACCCTGAGCCGTAATCTTGAGAAAGTTAACACCGCTCTGTTTGAAGAGAGAACAAAGAGTGGGAAAATGCAGAAAGGTCTCAGAGAGTTAAAAAACAGTATGCAGAAAATGGTTAAAGAACGGCAGCAGCTAGAAGAAACTTTGTCTAAAAAAGTTGAGAACATTCAAACAGCTTTGTCAAACCGGAAATGCGAAAATGAAAATCTGAATGCAAGCATTGTCCAGTGCAAGGCAGTACATGAAAATTTGATAGCAAGTTTGGGAACACAACACACAGAGACTGTTGGTATAAGAGCACAGATACAGGACATACATACATCAGTAGATGAGAAATTTGGTGTTCACTGTGAATTAAGTACTGACATATCTAAACTTACTGAAGTGACACATTCCTATAAACAAAGTTTAAATGCTGTTCATGAAGATTACAGCCAGATTCAGAAATCCTCAGAGCTTTGCCAGGAGATGTTAGTTGATCTTCAGAACAAAATCAAGAGTCAAGTTGAAGAGAAGGAAGGATTTCAGAAAGACTTTGATGAGCTTAATGTATTAATTAACTCATTGAGAGCTCTCTTGGATTCATCTAAAGAAGATCTGAAGAATGAGGTTAAAAACCATACAGATTTGACCAGGGAGCTGGCAGATAGTTGTGAGATGCAGAAACGACTTCAAGATGATGTATTGCATGTTAAACATGAACTGAGAGACATGCTGCAGATTGTAAGTAAAGCTGAAGACAGGCTTCAAAAACATATTTCTCTCAGTGAACAGCTGAGTAGGGATATCGAGACTCTGAGCTCACAACAAGAATTGGAACAGGCCAAATTTGAACAAGAGAAGGATGAACTTACTATTGCTTACTCCAAGCTCGAAGTGCAGCACAGTAAGGAGAAAGAATTAAATGTCAGGATAAAGGAACAACTGTGCAGCGTAACAGAAGAATATGGACAGCTAAAGGAGAGTTTTGAAGCAGCGTCTAGAGAACTGCAAGAACTCAAGATGTCTTCTACTGAAGAGAAGGTGGTTTTAGATGAGACAAGGACCAAATTGCATGAAGCCACACAGGCTTACCAGGCCCTTGAAACAGAGATGTGTGTGGTGAAGGAAACAATGTCACAGAGTGTGCAGGAAACAGCCATGCAGGTGACAGAGAAAGCAGCAGAAATAGCAGATTTACAAGCTTTGATTAAACTCAGAGAAGATGAAATTTCACAACTTAAATTGGATCAGTCTAAGATAGTACAGGAGAGGGATGAGCTGGCCATTGGATACACCAAGCTTCAAGAGGAGCAGAGTAAGGAGAAAGATTTGAATGTCAGGATGAGTGAGGAACTGTGCAAGGTAACAGAAGAATATGGGCGGCTGAAAGAGAGTTTTGAGGCAGCTTCTAGAGAACTGCAAGAACTGAGGATATCTTCTGCAGAAGAAAGTGCAGTTTTAGAGGAGACACGGGCCAAATTGCATGAAGCCACACAGGCTTACCTCGCCCTTAAAACAGAGATGTGTGTGGTGAAGGAAACAATGTCCCAGAGTGTGCAGGAAACAGCAATGCAGGTGACGGAGAAAGCAGCAGAAATAGCAGATTTACAAGCTTTGGTTAAACATAAGGAAGAGGAAATTTCAAAACTGAAGGTGCTTCTTGAAGAAGCCCAAGAGAGTTTGCAGGAAACAACCACACATGTGAAAGAGAAAACAGCAGAAATATCAGATTTACAAGCATTAATTAAACTCAAAGAAGAGAAAATTTCACAGCAAGAATTGGATCAGTCCAAGATAATACAAGAGAAGGGCGAGCTAGCCATTAGATACTCCAAGCTTCAAGAAGAGCACAGTAAGGAGAAAGAATTAAATGACAGGATGAATGAAGAACTATGCAAGGTAACAGAAGAATTTGGGCGACTGAAAGAGAGTTTTGAGGCAGCTTCTAGAGAACTGCAAGAACTGAGGATATCTTCTTCAGAAGATAAGACAGTTTTAGAGGAGACGAGTGCCAAATTGTATGAAACCACACATGCTTACCAGGCACTTAAAACAGAGATGGACACAGTGTCTCAAAGTCTGCAGGAAACAACAACACAGGTGACAGAGAAAACATCAGAAATATCAGATTTACAAACTTTAATTAGACATAAAGAAGAGGAAATGTCACAACTGAAGGTGCTTCTTGAAGAAGTCCAAGAGAGTTTGCAGGAAACAGCCATTCGGGTGACAAAGAAAACATCTGAAATAACTGAGTTACAAGCTTTAATTAAACTCAGAGAAAAGGACATTTCACAACAAGAATTGGATCAGTCCAAGATAATACAAGAGAAGGATCAGCTTAACACTGCTTACTGCAAGCTTCAAGAAGAGCAGAGTAAAGAGAAAGAATTAAATGTCAGGATAAATGAGGAACTGTGTAAGGTAACAGAAGAATATGAGCACTTGAAGGAGAATTTTGAGGCAGCTTCTAGAGAACTGCAAGAACTGAAGATATCTACTGCAGAAGAAAGTACAGTTTTAGATGAGACAAGGACCAAATTGCATGAAGCCACTTATGCTTACCAGGCCCTTAAAACAGAGATGTGTGCTGTGAAGGAAACAATGTCCCAGAGTGTGCAGGAAACAGCCATGCAGGTGACAGAGAAAGCAGCAGAAATAGCAGATTTACAAGCTTTGGTAAAACATAAAGAAGAGGAAATTTCACAATTGAAGATGCTTCTTGAAGAAGTCCAAGAGAGATTGCAGGAAACAACCACACATGTGACAGAGAAAGCAGCAGAAATAGCAGATTTACAAGCTTTGGTTAATCATAAAAAAGAGGAAATTTCACAACTGAAGATGCTTCTTGAAGAAGTCCAAGAGAGATTACAGGAAACAACCACACATGTGACAGAGAAAACAGCAGAAATATCGGATTTACAGGCTTTAATTAAACTCAGAGAAGGTGAAACATTGCATCTGAAAGTTCTTCATGAAAAAGTCCAAGAGAGTTTGATTGACCAGGAATGTCAGTTTGAAGCTGTTATTTGTAAGTGTGCTGATGCAGAGGAAAAGGCAGTGGCACTGGATGCTTCTTTTTCGTCACTGCTGAAGGAAAAATGTCATCTTTCATCTGAACTTGCTGTATTGCAGAATAAGTTAGAGGATTTTACCAAAGAAAATGTGGAATTAAAGATGAAAGCATCAGAACTTAGCTTGGACTTGAAGGGTAAAACAGAAGAATTTGAAAGAAAATTATCAGATCAGATATCACTTCACTCTACGTTGGCAGAAGAAAAGAATATCTTACACGTGTCCTTTGATAATTTGTCAGAGAAACTTCAGAATGAAAAATCTCAAACATATAATCTAACTCTTGAGAAGGAGGCTTTGCTTTCATTGAAAGCTGGCCTAGAGATTACAGTTCAGGATCTGACTAACACAAATTCAGATCTGAGAAGACAGATAGAAGATCTCCAGCACAGTGTAGACATGTATCTCGGAGAGAAAGATAGTTTACAACAGAGATATAATGATACTGTGGAGGAAGTTCGTAAAGTCACTTCACTGCTAGAAGTTGAACTTTTGAGATCAGAGAATTTGAATTTGAAAGTTCAAGAGGTAGAGCAAGAGCTTAAAAACCTGCTGGCTGACAAAGAGAGAGATGAGGAGACTACGAAGACTCTGGAGCTTCAGTTAGCAGTGGAGCAGGCTGAGAGAAAGACATTAGCTGAGCAGCTTCAAATTGTTTCAGCTGAAAAAGCTGGTTATCTAGAACTTCAAGAAGCCAAAAGACAATCAGAGTTTGAAGAAATGACTGAAAGATATGCAAGAATTGTAGAAGAAGTTGACATCAGCAAGTCAGCCATTTCAGAATTGAAGCAGGTAAACATTGCCTTGGAGCAGGTTGTGCAGGATCTTCAGGAGAAGTTGGCAAAGGCTGAGAATGAGGTCCTTATCTACAAAGATGATGTTTTGAAACATAAGGACACAGAGATTGATTTACTGATAGGTGAAATATCAGCTCTGAGAAATGACAATGAAGCAGTGCTGACTGCATACAGAAAGAGCATGGGTGAAAATAATAGGATTGAAACAAAGCTTCACACCATGTCAAAATCTGCTACAGATGCACAAGACAAATTACAAGACATGTTGCAGACAATGGAAGAGTCACTGGAAGTGTTAGAGTCATGTCTGAGTGCAGCTGGTAGTGATTCCCCACTGAAACAAGAGATTGAAGTCAAGGACATGGAATATTCTATGAAAGAAGGTTTATCAGACATCCAGGATGGACATAGGCATGTGGTGGAAAATGGTGATGGAATTGTCACATCAACTTCACTCTCTCAGCATAAAGCAAAGTTAACCCATGAGATGCCAAATGAACACAACTGTGGTGGTGGGTATGACAGCTCAAACACATCCGTTAGGATTATCACCGAGTCATTTAAAACAAAACTGAATCAAGTCAGGAAAAGTTTCAGTTGTTTACTGAGTGACAAGGCAGCTCTGGAGAGTGAACAGAAACATTTGGTGTCACTCCTGGAGGAAACCGTTGTTGAACATGAGAGTGCAGAGTCTGTCCTCCAAGAAACCAGTAGTGCATGTCAAGCTCTTCAAGAGGAGGTTGCAGGCATGACCAGCCAACTCCATAATTTGCATACGGTTGTGGAAAAGAAAGAAGAAGCCAGCACTGATTTGATTAGTGAAGTTCAACTCACTTTTGAGAGAAACATGCAGGAGTTGAAAATATCTATGCAGGAGCTGTCGCATGAAAAAGAAATAGAAAGACAAGAAAAGGTGTTTATTCTGGACATGCTTTCAGAAGCTGAAGAAAGGTACCAGAGTTTGGATGCTGAGTTCAGTAACTGGAAAATTGTCAGTGGAAAAGAATATTTAGCACTGAAAGAAGCATTGCAGATATCTGAAAAGCTGTGCAATGAACAAAAAGATGAGCTCGGTGCAATGAGAGAGCAGCTTCAGAGTGAGGTTCAGGAAGCTGAAAGGAAGTGTGAAGAAGAGCTTTGCATGGCAAAAGAGACTTTTGATGACACTACAAGCACACTGAAATCAACCTTGGAAGAGATACAAATCTCAAAGGAACAGTTGGACAGGCACATACAAGAGCTGGAAACAAATAATAAAGTGCTTGAGATGGAGATAGAATCTGTGAGGAAACAAAGAGATAAGGATGTTATAGAAATTCATCAGCTGTTAGAACAGTCAGAACTTGAATACCAGACATTAGAAAAAGAAGTCTGTATTTTGAAGTCTGAGAAGTCAGTGATTGAATCCGAAAGGCTGAAGCTTTCTCAGCAGCTTGAGAATTTAATGGAGAATTCTAAATCTGAAACGGACAACTTGGCTCACAGCCAGACATTGCTTGAAAATCAGGCCCATACATTAATGGTGGACCTGACCACAGCCAATGAGGCAAATCTAGTTATTCAGAACACTCTCAGACAAACCGAGCAAGAACTGTCAGAGGTCAGGCAAGAACTTCTTGACAGTAAATCACAAATTGCAGTTAGTGAAATGCAAATTAATGACCTGAAAACACTAATAGATAACCTGAAAGAAACTTTAGCCTTTAAAGAGAAAGAAGTAGAAAGTCAGAAGTTTAGAATACAAGACCTTGAAGTGGCTCAGTTAAATCAACAAGCCTCTCTGGACAGTTTGACAACCCAGGTAGCCGAATTAAAAGTTTCTCTCCCTGTAGTAGATTCATCACTTCCTTCTCAGTTTATTTCTCCTTCCTCGTCACAAGATTCCTTGTCATCCCCATTTTCATTTTCTACTGTAGAAAATAATGTTATGGTGAGGGCAGATATCCAATCTTTGCAGGCATCCTTTCCTCAGGTTGCAGACTCGCATCCTACTGGTGACAGCCCGGTTGTGGTGGCAAGCCTGCAGGAAGAACTGAAGCATGCTGAAGAATCACAAACAAACAAGTTAGCAGAAAAGCTTCAACAACTCTCCACAGAAGTTGAGAATCTCAAAGCTGAGCTTAGTGATCAAGAATCAACAATATCTAGACTAAAAGCTGACCTTGTTAATGAACAGAACACTAAACTTGAGCTAGAAAAGGCACTGAAGAAAAAAGACAAACTTGTCCATGGCCTCCAGTTGAAAGCAAAGAAGACAGCAAAGCAGTTTAAACTGCACCAAGACAGTCAGCCAGGCATAACAGAATCACAGCCAAAGCAAAAGGAAGATAGTTTCTATTCATTATCTTGGTCTGAAAGTTCTGTTGACACATCAGACATGTCTGAAAGTGAAAGACTGTACAGACAGCTTCTGTCTCAGTACCAGAGTGTGGTTATTGAGAGGGACACAATGAAAGAACTAGTTTCTGAGAAAGATACTGAAATAATAAAACTCCAGACCCAGTACTTTGATGCTGATCTGCATTGGAAAGAGATTACTGGGGAGCTTCAGAAGCAGCTGAGCATGCTTCAGGAGAAACTTGACAAGGGGGGTGTCTTAGCCAATGCTCTGCAGAGGAAGGAACAAATGCTGGAGGAAGAATTGAAAGTCACAACATCAGAGTTAATGTCTACCTCATATCTGTTGAATGAGAGCATTCAGACTGGTCTCACTGAGGCAGAGATGGTTGCTCAGCTGCGCCATAAGTTAATTGAAGCACTTGAAATTGGTGCCGATTTTGAGAACAAGATAACGGAACTCACTGCTGTGTTGCAAGAGAAAACAGCATTGATGGATGAACTTCAGGAAGAACTAGGAGCTAAAGATATAGAAATTCAGTCATTGCAGGGGGAGTTGTCAAAAAAGATGGTGGTCAAAGATGATGAAATAGGCCGACTGCAGTTTCAGGTGAGAAATTTGGAATCTCAGACACGATCTTTAAAAGAAAACATAAAAATTCTTGAAATAGAGCGACAGGGTCGGAGCAGCCATATTGATACGTATGCATCAAAAGTACAGGAACTTGAAATGGCTTTAAAAGAAATGACAAGTGTAGCAGATAATCTGAAATCTGTACTAGCAGAGAAAGACAACAAGATAGTTATTATGGAAGATGTCATGAAAGAAATGTATGGAACAGTGGATACAAACAGCACTGCTATTGCTTCATTGACCTTTGAACTTAAAACAGCAAAATCTGAACTTGAACAGATGAGATCAGAAAAAGAAGAAATGAAGAAAACACTCAAGAAGAAAGATGCTAAAATTGTTGCACTTACCAAAAGGATCGGCTCTTCAACACCAAAAAAGCAGGAACCACTACCAACACTTTCGGAGTCATTTGTGGCTAAAGAAAGTGACCAATCAAATGAAAAAGGGGTCATTTCTGAAGATGTATCGGCCGCTGATTCAGACAGCTCATTTTTCGGTTCTGAACTGACTCACCGGCACGAGATTGCAACTTTAATGGCAGAAGTAGCAGGCCTGAGAAAATTATTGAAGAAGAAAGATGCAGAGATTTCAACGGCTAATAAGAAATATAAAGGTTTGCAGATGTTGCAAGGAAAGATGTCATCAGCTGCTAGTACAGAGTCTGTGACAGAAACATCAGGGAGGTTGTCAGTGATGTCACAGTTTGACAGCAGGTCTACTACTATCTCTGATGATGTTCAAGAGCTTAATGACAGACTGCGACATAGTGAGCTCTGCAGAGATGCAATGGAGGTTCAGATCAGGGAGTTGGAGGTTGAGTTGGATCACTGCAAAGAAGAGATGGTGAACATGCGTCATGAACTTGAGGACCTTCAGGAGGAGCTGCATTTAGTGTCACGTGATAAGCATGCACTAGAAAACTGCATATTTGATATCAGAGATATGGTGAACCCACAAGCTGTTGAACAGTTTGCAGGTGATGACACACTGTACTCTACTGCAGAATCTGTGAGACTTTTAGTTGAAGAAAAGTTCATGGCAGAAAAACGGGCTGCAGACCTCCAATCTTGGCTAGATGAAATAGAACAAGATCATGGAAGAAACAGTAATTTAAGAGGCACTGTTCAGAGTCTGGAGCTAGAGCTGAAAGATTTGAATGGAAAATACAGTGATACTTTAAACCAGCTGCAGCAGGTTATCCAAGAAAAGGGTGTCTTTGAAGAGGAGCTGTACATATTGAAAAGGAGTGCTGAACAAAGGGCGGATGTGGAGCTGGAAACTAAGCTGAGAGAGGCATCTGTTGTTATCAAGTGTATGAAACAAGAATTGGAGTTGTTAAAAGCTGAGCGGGATAGCTTAGAGGAGAGATTAAATGTTGGGGAGGCAACATCCATTCAGCAGACTAGGGAAGTTGTGAATAGCTTTCAGTATGAGCTTCAGTTTGTTCCACAGCAGGTTCAGGTGGAAAGTCAAGACATTCAGAGATATCCAGAAGCATTCTTAGATTATACAGACAGTTCTCTGAAGGTTAAAAGTAATGGAGAGGGACAACAACCTCATGTGATGGATACAAATGAGTTTAATTTACACAGACTTGAAGAACTATCATCACAGTTGTTAGAGGTTGAACAGGGTAGAACCGAGCTTGAGAATAAACTGCAGTATCAGATGGAGGTAAATACTGTCTTGCATTCAGAGATAGATGCTTTGCATCAGGCTGCTGATACATTCAAACAGGAGAAAGACCTGCAGATTGTCTCTTTGTCTTCTGAACTAGCAGAGTCTAAGACCAGGATCAGCGACTTGAGGACGATGTTGAAAAACAAAGAAATAAAGCTGTCTGCATTATCTGATGAGTTTGGTGATCTTTCACTTCAATATGAGAAACTCCAACATGCAAAACTGAAGGCAGACAGTGAGAACCTGGCTTTGAAGGAAGAGTTTGAGCAACAGAAGAGTACACTGGTACATCAGACTGAAGAGATTCAGAACCTGAAGGACAATGTGTTATATTATGAAGGGATAATGCAACAGTTGCATGAAGAAAACAGAAGTATTAAAGAGCAACTAGAGCAGAATGCCACCAGCTGGTCCCAGCAAGAAGACAAGTACAAGATACTGCAAGAACAGCTAACATATCAGCAGTTAATAAATCAGCAAAAACAACAGGAACATAGCCACCTTGCTAGACAATTTGAAGAACTAGAAGAAGCATGCGCTTTGCAGAGTGAAATGATGAAAAATTTTGAAGAAGATATGAGGACAAAGAACAAGAGAATTCAGGAAATTACAGACCAGAATGAAAATGTTCAAAAACTACTGCAGGAAAAAGGTGAGAATGACAATCTTTCTGCAGAATACCTGACTTCTATGTGCAAGTTGTGTGGAACCGAAGACATTTCATTTGCCAGTTTGTATGAGCATGTACAGAATCTGGTTGCAAGAGTGGGCACTGTTGAAACAGTTGAAAGTTTTATAGGATCCTTGCAGGCAGAGCTCTCATTGAAAACAGAAACTGTGACATCATTAGAACAACAGTTACAGGCTCTAGAGACTTCTTCAGAAGAAAATGTTCACAAACTTCAGCAAGAGATAGCAAGTCTGAAGGTTGAACTTAGCATGCAAGAAGAGACAGCAAGATCGTCATCATCTCTTGATGAGCAGCTTTTCTATATGAACCAAGAACTACATTCAAAGGATTCTGCTCTGTATCAGTTACAACAAGAGCTTAATGAACTCAGAGGGGAACGAGATGAGCTGAAGTTGAATGTTGATACACAGATGGAGAGAGTTGTAGGCTTGGAACATGCGGTAGCAAAGAACATGCTGAAGATGGAAGAGTATGAACAAGATATCCTGAATTACAAAACCACAGTACAGTCCTGTGAAGTACAGATCAGTGACCTGAAGTCACTGCTGTCACACAACATGGAAATCAGTGCCGCGAATGAATCTAAATTGAATGCATCTCTTGCAGATGAGCAAAGAAGAAATACTGATCTTCAGTCACTGATCGAGCAGCTCAACGTGGCCTTGCATGAGAAAGATGGTGAGATTTCCAGATTAAATTTAGAGATTAACAGATTGAAGCAGGACATGTCAGTTCTGTCTGATCAACTTCAGCAGTCAGAAGACATGGTTTTAGCCTTGACCCATGAAAATGGGACAATACAGCAATGTTTTGATGAAGCTCAGTCAAAAGTTGCTAGACTAGAGAACCACAGTATGGCTTTGCAGCAGAAAATAGAAGAATTAAATAGTGAGAACATTGCTCTTAGAAAGAGTGCTTCAGGAGAGCAAGAGTGTGTTTTTACTCCAGAAGTTCTAGAAGGCCTTAAGAATCAAATAGCAGAATTAGCAGACCGTTTGCAAATGTCTGAAAGTACAGTGGTAAATTTAACACATGAAAGAGAGACACTCAAACTAACAAATGAGGAATATATTGCAAAAATTGCTAATCTTGAATCTGAATATATTGTTTCGATACAAGAATTGGAGAAATTGAAAGCTGAGACAGGGGTGTTTGGAAAAGGCTTTGATTATAAAGAACCTGAATATACTGCAGTGACTTCTGAGCAAGTCAGTCTGCTAGAGCAGAAAATATCACAGCTTGAAGAACGGTGCAAAGATTTGCAGAAAACTATTAAGAAAAGAGATGCTAAAATTGTTTCACTTAATAAAAAGTTGGAGCAGGCTCAGTTGGAAGTCAAACAACAGAGTCTGTTACAGTCACAGACTACACCTTCAGTATCACTTGAGATGTCCACTCAGTCGGAGGACAGTGCGTTTGTTTCTCAGTATTTTACCAATGTTGATGATTTTACTCAGCCAGACACCTCCTTGTCACAAGAACTGCCAAAGAATGAACTCCCTCTGCTGCCTCAGAATGACACTGCTGATCAGGCTGGACAGTCTTCCATATTTTTATCAACATCTTCAGAAGAAGGGTCAGCATCTTTCGCTGATGCAGACCGAGGAGCTCTGAAAGCGGAAATATCCAGGCTCCAGGCTTGGTATGAGTACCTCCAGCAGCAGGTCCAGCTGGGGGAAGCTGCGCTCCAGCAAGCTCATTCAGAGATTGCCTCGCTGAAAAACACAATAGAGCAGCTGCCACATCAGATTATCATACAAGACGAATCTACTACCGTGTCTTCAGCTTCTGTCTCGGACCTGGAAACTAGGAATAGCTATCTGCAAGAAGAACTCAGCTCCAGCTCTCAGCATGTAAGAACCAAAAGTCTAGGCTTGTCAAGCAATAACATATGGCTGACCATTGAGTTAGCTGTAAATATTCTGCACTAATACTCCATATGCCTTTGCTTTAGTTCCATTGATTTAGTTTAGTGTGGCTTTGGTTTATCTTGAATGTAAAGGTTAAAGGTTAAAGTCAATACTCACCAAATAAAGCATGATAGTTATGCATTTTAAAGTAAATGTAAAATTCATTCAGTATAACTAGAATGTTGAGTGCTTTATTAATATCCTACCCCAGATGATGTCACAGGACAGTCCAAGATTTTAGAGGGTGGTAAGACTGGGTTTCCTGGCTACCTGATGCTTTTAACGACCCCAAAACATCTAGAACTGGCCCTAACCCCAACCCACCTACGTCCCACGAGAGAGTGCAGCCTAGGTCCCACGACTGCATGCAGCCTAGGTCCCATGACTACATGCAGCCTAGGTTTCACGACTGCATGCGGCCTATCTCCCCCCCCCCCCCATAAAATATTAGACTGTCCTGTGACCTTCGGATTTCCCTTGTTTGAGGTAAGATATTGATAAAGCACAGAATGTTGCATTAACATTGTGTAAATATAGTGAAAATCTCATGGATTCAACTATTATAAAGCAGTTGTGTAAATGAAAGGCAACAGTCCTAAACATTCATATTACTTGTATATACAACGCCTATATCTGAGCTAGTTCTGCTCAGGGTAACGTTATTTACTGAATCTTACAGGCATCAGACTAACCATAGCCACACAAGTAGTTTGTGTATATTTTGCAGGATTGAACTTTTCTTTTTTAAGATTGTTATAGTTGGGATATATTGGTGGCACCAAATTCACTATATTTATCCTGTAGAGAACATGCAGATCAGTTAGTTGTGTCACTGTCTGTGCTGTTTGTGTCCAGTGTAACTTAAGAGTCCATATTTTGTTTCTTGGTCAGATAACTAACCTGCTAACACCAACATTTATTGTGTAACACTAACATAGAAATAAAACGCAAGGCATTTTGATAAAACAGGAGAAACTATTCAAATCAATAAGGCATCATGATAAAACCAAAGAAGCTATTACAGATCAATAAAACATCTTTATTAAACAAACAAAAATTACAAGTCAAAAAAGCATTGTGATAAAACAAAAGAAACTGGACTGGCTGGGCGACCTGGGAGCCAGGATTATTTTCTGTCTTCTTCTTCACGTTCACTGGCTGTAAACTCCAGCAGAAAGTTCTGGTTGTTTATCCACCTCTGGACTTAGACTTGTTCCAGAACCTGAGTGTTGAGTGCAAATCCTTTTTATAGATATGACTCATTTGTATGCAGACTGTTGGTTCCTTGCCTCCCAGGCAGATACACCTTGTGAAAGAAACCCCCAGTTAATCGACCAGAACCTGAGTGTTGAGTGCACATCCATTTTATAGATATGACTCATTTGTATGCAGACTGTTGGTTCCTTGCCTCCCAGGCAGATACACTTTGTGAAAGAAACCCCCAGTTAATCGACTCGTACAACATGCTTGTTGAATAGATAATATAGCCTTGGGGAGACAGTGGGTCTATTCTTGTTTTCCCCACAGTGGGGCTCTGGAACCCACACAGGAGATAATTTTTGTTTTTAAAGTCTGGCTCGGTCAGGACCCTAGTCCATGACCTGCTTATCTGCAGGCAAGTGTCTAGCCACTACACCACAGCTGCCGCCATAAACTAGAGTGAAATGTTTAGTTACTGTTAATGATGTTACCATAAGTTCTGCAATACCACGCATGTATATTGTCCTGTGGTGTATTGTGTAGTGTTCACAGTGAATAGATTAGTGGTTATGACACCATAAACTAGACAATGTACTGTGCAATGTCAAGAGTGTTAAACTGTAATCAATATTTAAGTATGTTATGTGATCCATTAGCTAGAGGATGTGGGCTTGCCTTTAGCAGAAGCTCACTGGTCAACATTTTAAGGATAGAGAACAACTACGGTGTAGAATTAGACACTAAAATGCAACAATCATCACCCCTGGATTGAACACTTAAGGTAAAATACCTGTAATATTAGTCACTTGGTAAGAAATTGTAAATACCAACACAAGAAACAGCAAGAAAATATGACCTCCACTGTATAAAATATTTTAAGGATAGAGAACTAGAGTGTAGAATTAGACACTAAACTTCAACAATCATCAGTCACCCCTGAATTGAACACTTAAGGTAAAATACTTGTAATATTAGTCACTTAGTAAGAAATTGTAAATACCAACACAAGAAACAGCAAGAAAATATGACCTCCACTGTATAATATATTTTACCTCTACTGTTACAGAATGTAGCACTGCACATATCTGGGTAGAATGAAAACATCAGCCAAACACTTCACAGTATTAGTAGAAACAGTCTTTATACACCCCACATAAAAATGTTTTCTGGGCTGTAGCAGTGAAGTAAATCTAAAGTTAGTGGTAGCAAAGCTAGGTAAGTGCTGGGGCAAGGCTAATATCTGAATCAGTAGTTTGGCTTATTACTTTGTTTTAGGCCATATTTGTTCCCAATTCACGGTTTCACAGATGTGTGAAGGGAGTGGGTGGAAATGTAAACTGTTGTCTCCTTCGATCGGGACATTATGTTGTGTTTTACAGCTAGGCAGTGATATGTAACTTTTTATGCGAGGCATCCGCCTTGAGTGCTAGAGGTCCTGGGTTCAAGCCACGGTGAAGACTGGTAATTTTCCCTGGTCTCTGGTTAGTAAGATCGGGTACCCATGTGTATTGTTGCACACGTAAGAAAAATCTCTTGGCAGTTGGAAATTTGAAAAAGAGTAGCCTAACGGTGCTGCCGAGGCTAAATTTTGAGTTAAAAATCTACCCAAAGTATTTCAGGTTCCTCGCCGGTGCTGCAGAGTTCGTGCACTGGGCTGAGATTCTTCGGACTGAGGCTTGAGTCAGAAGTAGAATGGAGCACTTATGGGCTACGTCCCTTGCGCTATATGATGTTGATCTGTCATCTTAACTATCCACACCTTTCAGCCCAACATATACGATTTAGCAAATTTCTAGTCACTCTTTTTTGACTTGCTGTTTAAGCGCCGGCAGGTCTCTTCCTATTTTTTGTCCCTAAAATGAGACCCCAAAACCCACATGGGGAATATATATATATATACATATACACACACACCAAACATATCCTGAAACTTTGTTAATGTCTGTGCTTGATCTTCTGTTTCAATAAGTTCATTCATAAAGATTTGAATAATTGAAACGCCCTTTTGCTGCGTGCATTTACAGTTACTACCACACACACCACACACTGAATAGGCTTTACTGCACACACAAAACATATGCACGGAAACCAGTTTTAGCTGTAGGATGTAGGCTAGAGTTCTTAAATGTTAAGTATACACAAGGAACACATTCGTGTAGAGATAAACAGAATGCTAAGGAAAATGTTGTTAAAAAGAAGTCTTTCGTGACTAACAGTGAGTTAATGGAAAAAGCATTATTCTAGATAATGGGTTGGAAAAGATGTTATTCTAGTTAATGGGCGGGAACAGCCGTTATTCTAGTCGATGTGTAGGAAAGGGGTTATTCTAGTTAATGGGCGGGAACAGCCGTTATTCTAGTTGATGGGTAGGAAAGGGGTTATTCTAGTTAATGGATGGGAAAAGGCATTATTCTAGTTAATGGGTGGGGAAAAAAGCATTATTCTAGTTAATAGGTGGGGAAAAAAAGCATTATTCTAGTTTATGTGTGGAAAAATTAATGATTATCCTAGTTAATGTGTGGAAAGAGGCGTTATTCTAATTAACGTGTGGCTAAGGTTCATAAATGTGTTTGGGACATATTGATGTAGGAATAAACAAGATTACCATAATCAGAAGGGCTTCACGATCAACAGTGAGTTTAAAAAAGTGGGGGGGGGGGGAGACATTATTCGACTTAATAAATAGCTAAAGTTCATGTTTGTGACTAAACAAATGTAAGGGGTGTAGGAATACAAAAAAATGTTTAGGAAAATATACATTATATTCACAAAGATAGCAGTGGTACACTGTAGCCACCTACACTGTGGAGATGGCACATAATTTTTTTTAAAGGAAAATATAAAAGACTGTTCATAACTAAAATTTAGTTTAAAGGAAAACATAATTATTCTAGTATAGTTAGGTTGTTGTTGTTGCCAAACATACATCATGGAAAATAGAATTGTTCTAGTAATATTAAGAACAGACTAATAGGGCCTTAGTTATGGTATAGACAGGGGGTAGTCAGTGTTGCCTGTATGTAACCTGTACATTCACCGCTGTGTTGTCTGTTGTGTTGTCTACTGAATGTGGCAGTAAGTAAGAAGGGCTATCTTCCGACTGATGGTCGGTAAAGATGGCAGCCGCAAAATATCCTTTCGAGCCACAGTCGCGTCTCAGTTGCGCCTGTCCCCCACTCATGCTGCGTGGAATGGGGCTAAACTAGATGGCTAGGACCCATGAGCAGCAGTCGCTTTGTGCTCATGACCGCTAGTGCGCAATTGAGACGTGACTGTGGCTCGAAAACATATTTTGCGGCCGCCATCTTTACCGACTGTTAGTTGGAGGATAGCAGTAAGAAATCAGCATTTCTTTTCATATCATTTTAGATTTTTTGAAATACGTTGACAGTATTTTTAAAAAAAGTGCATAAATGGTCCTTTTGAAAGGCTGTGGTAGTACAGTGGCTAGACACTTGCTTCTGGCATGAAGGTCTTAGGTTCAAATCCACCAAAACCTTGGGGTGACCCACCCTAAACAGGTACTGGGAAATGTCAAGGGAAGTAAAGGTGGTCAGCCTGATGTTAACCACATCGTCTAATGGTTGTCAGTTGGCCTATAAAAACATAGATGCGATACTGTATGCACGATATTCCTCTGGCATGGGAAGGGCCTGAGTGGATAATATGGTCAACATTATGTGACTGTCACAAGTGCTATATAATTGGTAGTCATCGGCAGCTTATGCATTGTGAACACGCTTTATAATTCTGAAAAATCCAGTTCAGTTCCAGCTGCAGGTGGTTTGGCAGCAGCCTGCTTTATGTTAAGTTTGACAGTGGTGTAGAGCACTAACTGTTAAGCAAGCAAAGGCAAACTACTAAATGTAAAATTGCCTGGTAAAACCTCAAACAACCAACAATTGCTGAGGTTGGTTTTTCGACCTCCTTTTAACGATACACAACAAAATTGTTTAAGATAATGAAGTTATTATTGATTTTTTATATATTGGGTTAGGATCTGCTGATAATGAAGTCCGACATTTTTGTTTGCCTTTTAATACCCAATTCATGGGCTTGCATTTCAGCTTATTTTGTTTTATTATTTTTGTTGATTCAGTTAAATTTTTTAAATTCATGTATTATTTTCATTCACAATATGGTTTTCAGTTACCTAAAACTTTTTTTCTAAAGTTTATTGTATGATTTTATTTGCAGTGTGATGACATGTTAATTTAAACTGTTATATTCACTGATAGTCACATTTTACCATGTTCTGTGTTTTGACAGTTAGAGATACTTTGTAGGTTAATATGCTGTCTCACCCAGTTTGAAAGATAACAATTACCAATGGAGCTTAATCGTTCCGTAAATTATTATCATTATATATATATTTTGTTTACACTTTCCCTGACAAGGGTTATTTGCATGTTTTGTTGTGGTTTAAAATGGAATGGGATATTTCCATCATTAGGCCCAACACATACAGTTTCATCAAATCTTGAATTAGTTGCTTTTAAATGATCATTGGGTGTACTCTTTCTCTTCCCCAAACGGTGCCCTAGAACCCACATGGGGACTTTTATTATTCTTCTTCTTCTTCACGTTCACCAGCTGTACACTCTGGCGGAAAGTTCTGGTTGTTCGTCCACTACTGAACTGCAGTCCTGCTCCAGAACCTGAGTGTTGCGTGTGCATCAGTTTTACAGATCTCATTCTCTTGAATACAGACTGTTGGTTCCTTGCCTCTCCGGCAGATGCACTCCGACTTCAAAGGAAGCTCCCCAATTAGTCGACTCTTACGACATGCTTTTGGGTAGGCAGTGGGTCTATTCTTGTTTTCCCCTACAATGGGGCCCCGGAACCCACACGGGGGACTTTTATTATTAATTAAGAAGATGTTTTTATAGTCGTACTTCTATTGATGCATTGCTATTCAGTTTTTGTGAGAATTACGTATGTCTGAGTTGACTGCAGGTGTTTCTGCCTTGATATGGAGATACTGGGTGTTGTTAAATAATCTTGCTTGCATGTTTGTCAACTACATTACATTTTCTCATGTAAGCCACCGTGAAGTTACAAAATAACACGAGACACACACTTAGTGTTTTGAGGCGGTGTTCTGTTCTGGTGTGCTGCCCCGGGTGTTTGAATATAAACTTTAGTTTTTATTCACACTACATCTTGTTATTCTCCTTCTGCTGCTTCGATTTATTTAACCCCCCCCCCCATCCCCCACACTTCATGATACATAGCCAGCTGCATAATAAATAGTGATAAGTAACCATAGCTGTTACATTCTGTTTATAAACTCATATTCTATATTTCCATAGCATAAACCGAAACTCTCCAATGTCTTTTCTCTCAGCTTTTTGTGTTCTTGTTTATCCTCGGTAATTATTGTTCATTGTTCATTTCAACTTGGGCAAACATGCTCCAATTCCCTTTATCATGTTTGTTATTGTGTTTACACCTGTTTTGTATTGGCTATATAGTGACTGTGAACTGTTGCATTTTCACGTTGTGCTGCTCCAGTGGGTTTTATATTTCGACTTTGGATCACTCAGATTGAAACGTATTGTTTACAATTAGTTACAAATCCGATAAACATGTTTACTATGTATTAACTTAAAAGAAATAATAGCAAAAGTAATAATAATAATAACTAATATTTTCTCAAATGTATGTTACTGGCAACACGTTTAGTTTTTTTTATTTCTGCTTGTCTTTACAAAATCACATAGTATTGCAATTTGCAAATAATTTTCCTTGCTGTGATTGGGCGTTGTTGTCACTATTTTTTATTCTGTCACGGTTGACTCATTTTATCCCTGGCAATGGAACAGAATATTTTTTAGTAGGTTTGTATGACATATTTTTGTAGCCTTTGTCTGCCCCAGGCAGTGTAACATTTTCAGTTAACAGACATCTGGATTTAGGAAGTGCAAGCTGCGTAATGGAAAGAGACGGCTTAAAATTAAGACCCTTTTCTATGCATTCAAGCGAGTTGAGTATAAAGTTCTAGATCTATAATTGGCACTCTGTGGGTGCAGTGGCTAACGTTACGCCGGCTGCCTTTACTTTCCAGGACTATGCCTAATACCCATTTAAATCTGGGTTAACCGGAATGCCAAAGCCATTTTTTTAAATATAGTCCGGCTCTGTCAAGACCTGAACACATGACCCGCATATCCGCAGGCGAGCGTCTGGCCGCTACACCATGATGACTGCCCTCTGATAGAAAGAGTTCTTATTAACAAATGCAGTACCAAACATCTCACTGTATGTTTCTAGGTTATACCACACACAAAAATGGTGCACTTGTCTTATGTCACAGAAAGGTGATATGATATATTAACTCTTGTTCCTGTGTGGGTTTATTTTGGGGGGAAAAGAAAAGACCCACTGCCCCTAACTAGTTTGTCATAAAAGGTGACTAATTAAGAGTGCTGCAGAATGAATTGGGCCGAAAGGGGCAGATATCACAGCTTATCTGTAAACCACAAGACGACATACCAACCACCCTTTTAAGGGAAAACGCAGAAGTAGAAATTGTTTGCTTTTGAAATATTTTACTACTTCTGACACATAGTATCTTTATTGAATTGCTTTAGATGTTAGCATTTGTTTCTCCTATGCTCAACTCCTTAGGGCAGAAAGAGTTTAAGGAACAGTTGCTTGGTCCTGAAGAGTTACCAATAGCCTCAGAGAGTAGATTCATGAAACAACTGATTAAGACTGACAGAATTAATTTCCACTGTGTTTATTTCATATCCATTTGTACTAAATCCAGTTAAGCACTGTATTTTATTTACTAACATGTAGACATTTTAGCATCACTATACCTTGCTTGGGAATGTTATCCATGCAAATATACACAGCTGTGTAGATTGTTATTCTGATCTTGCACAAGTGTAATTATGTCTATAACTTGTAACCAGGCAAGTTTTGCTGTACCAGTGATTATTATGTCACGCTACCTGTAGGTGTGTTTTTGTGGTGTATGTTGATAAAGAGAACCACACGTAGGAGGTGTTTCATGCAGTTAACAATAATAGATCATTTTCTGTAACTGCTCCTTGATGGTATAGAGGAGAGTTTCCAAGTACTTGGGACTCCTGTGATAACTCTTCAACGTGCAGGGGAAAAGACAGCTGGATTTTTAATCAGGTTACAGCTAGCACTATTAGTTTAGGAACTTTGTTTTTAAGGAGGGGGATAGGGCACATATGGGAATGTCCCAAGTGCAGTAATGTCAGTTGTTGATTCCTTCATTCATTTATTCATCTCATGACTGTGAGCTGGCCTGTGGTAACTTAACTACTGCCTGAGCTGCTGAAGTTTCAGAGCAGGGACTTAAGTTAGAAACATCTGCTGCCTTTCACAGTGACTTGGCACAGAAAAATACTGTTGCTGTTGTTTCATCTAAGGCTTCTGATTAATTTACTTGTGATTGTCCAGTATCATGAATATGCAGGTCATGTGCAGCTGTACTACGGACCCAAAATAGAATGAGTTAGTAACTATTGGAGGCATTTACCAGGCTTGTTAAAGCACCAGTCATTTGAAGAAAAGGTGGCTAGTTATTTGTTATTTCATTGTTATGATTTCTGATTGGGGTGGAATAGCTGCAGTTGAGATGACTGTTTACTTTTAATTCATTTATTAGAAACATTTTGCTTGTTGTTCCCTTTAGTAAGTCTTTCCCCTTAAACTTAGGGGCGCAGAGGGCATAGCCCTCCATGTTTGTCAGTTCATTGCCACTTGTTTGAGATCTTCAGCCACACTTCTGTTGTTGATCATAGTTAGACATACTCTTTCTCTCTCTCTCATGAAACGTCTATGTAATTAACTTGCTGTCTTTTATTCCAAAGTTGAGAATTGTCTAGTATGTATTAAGTTAATAGCGTTTAAGATTGGTCTTCTTTGAGGTATACTTTAATCTTTCTTATGTTTGTTTTTTGTCATCAAAGGTGCTAGACATGACCCAGAGTCTCCAGCAAGCCCAACTTGAGAGGCAGGCCTATGCTACAGCTGCCAGTGAAGCTCAGCAACAGCTACATTCTCATGAAGAAACACAGAAGGATTTGGAGGCCAAAGTCTCAGAGCTGACCACTGCTTTGAGCAGTGCTGAATCCAGGCTTAAAGAGGTAGAAGAGGCATCAAAGCTTAATGAGGAGTCTTGGAAATCAAATGTCTTGTTGCTGGAAAGCCAGATTAAACAGATGGAAGAACAAATAACAGCAGAGCAACAGTTTAAGATGTTGATGGAAAGTCAGCTTAATCAAGTGCAGTCTGACTTGAAAGCCGAACAGGAATCAAAAATCACTTTAGAAAATTTACTCTCTAAAAGTGAAGATCACAAGACTGCTGTGGAACAGAAGCTATTACAGCTAGAAAATTGTTTGCAAGAAAATAGGGAACATGCAGCAAAGGCAGTCGAAGAATCAGAACAAGTGATTGCAGAACTCAGGGACAAACTAGCAGTTTCAGACTCTCAGGTGGCTGAGTTCAGGTACAGTTTAGAAAGTGCCAAAGCCCAAAATGAAGTTTCTAGTAAAATATTGGAACAGATGCAGACCTCTTCCTCGGAGAAGGAACAGAATACCATTCAACAACTGAGAGACAAGACAGAAGAGGTGGTGATTCTACAGCAACAGTTAGAACAGTCCATCGCTGAATTAAGTGATCTGAAAGCTAACAGTGTCAGAACTGAAAGCAGAATCAAAGAACTTCAGGAAGAGTTACTCTCAAGTAAATGTGAACATGAAAGGATTATATCTATAAGTGAATCTCTGCAAGAAGAATTGAAGTCTAAAGACTTAGAAGTAAAACAGCTACAGAATAGTTTTGATGAGGAAAGGGTGTCATACAGTGAAGAAAAAGAAGCTGTACAAAACCAAATTGTTAGTTATGAAGTTCAGTGTCAGGAACTTGCAGAACTGAGGCAGAAATGTTTTGCTGCAGAAGAGGAGAGGCAGTTCTTCATTGAAAAAATGGCTGTTCTGCAGACTGAATTGGACATGACTGTTGCTTTACAGTCACAGGTTACAGGTTTGAAGTCACAGAATGAAGAGCTTTTAGGGAACATTCAGATCAGCCGTGAGGAACTAACGGCAGTACAGGGAAGATGTTTAGATCTTGAAGTAGAAAAGGAAGCACTTTCGTCAAGGGTCAGTGAGCTTACGGAGCTGCAAGAGGCTCATCAAGCTAGCATTGAAACTCTTTCACAAGACAAGCAGATGCTAGAGACAGAGAAGATGCATCTTTCAGAAATACTGTCTTCATTCAATGACAACAATTCAGATCTTTCTGATATTCAGAAAGTTCTTGAAGAAACTAGAGAGCAGCTAAACATGACACAGGCTGAATGTCAGAAACTGAGACAGCTGGTGGAGGAGAAGGATGTTGTATTATCTCAGCAAGTTTCAGATCTGTTGGAGAGAAGTCAGTTAATTGACACACTAACAGCAGCAAGAGATCAATTAATGGAAGAGGTAAGTTTACGTTTATTGAAGATAATTTATGTTTAAATATTGAGGACATTAACAATGTCTTGCTTAGTTCATTGCACATTTGGTTGCCTGGCATATATTTTACTGTATCTTTTCATTGCATGGTATAGAATTTACATCAGCATATATTGAAGCAGCAAGGCTCTTCTGGTCATTATGGCGGATAGGCAGATTTAATATTTTGAGACATGGCAAGTTTTTGCTTCTGACAATAGTTGGCTGTTGCATTTTTCTCCTTATTTAGACTGAAAAGATATTGTACTGATTGTAACACGTGGTGCATCACTGTGAGCTACAGATTTAATTTAGAAGGCTTTTTGGCTGTTCCCAACATGGTTTAGATTTTTTTTTCACTTTTGACAATGGTTAATTTCCCCCCCTTTTTTTTTAATGTGGACAAAAAGTATATAGTTCCATTGCCCAGCTACTGAGTTGAATGTATGGCATGACACTTGAGCTGCAGATTGAATTTGGAATGCTTGTCAGCTGTGCCCAACTTGGTTTATGTTATGAACTGCAGATTCCGAAAATAGTGAGTGGCCTATTGCCAGAGAACTGGTAGTCCCTATGCGATTAATTGAATCCGCAACGAGGTGATTTTTCTTTCTTTTAAAATTATCCGTATCTCCTGGTGGGACCAGACATAAATTGGGTACCAGGAAATATCCTGGGAAGCAAAGAAGGCCAGAGTAATGTTGATCAAATTGGCCACAACGTGCTGATTAATCTATAAAAATATGAGTCATGCATCACATGCCCGAAGTGCCATTGGTGTGAAAAAGAGTCCTTTAGTTTTCTTTACTTACTTATTAGACACACATCTGTAGTAGGTAAACCTATAAATATGAGGTTGTGTTTCCTGTTTGTTATGAATTGTTTTACTTGGAAGTTTCATACAGAAGCTTTGTGATTGATAATTGTAATCTTTCAGTGCCAGAAGGTTTCACAGAAGATGTCTTATTTTCATCATCATCATCATCATCATCATCATCATGTTCTAAATCTGAATGTTGCATAAGGGTTATCTTATGTAGGGTTTCAGTTACATCCACCTTTCATCAATATATTTCAAGTGTCTGTTTTGCTGATTCTTTCTTTGCTTCTTCTCAGGATGTGCCCAGTATAACTCCATCCTTTTTGTCTTATAACTGTTGATACTGGTGGTTGCCCAGACATAACTTTTACCTCTTCACTTTTCTTGAATTCATTCCATTTAGCATTCATCAGTTGCCTCAGGCATTTGTTTTCAAATGCAGTTAACTTTTATTTCATATCCTTAGTGGTTCTCTGGCATGTGTTAAATGTGAAATAACATATCAATTGAAAAAAAATATTCTTGATTTTTAAACTGTAAAATTTAGAGTTTCATATTTTGTTCAGGCTTTTAAAATCTTGTGTTGCCGATCCAGTATGGATCATAGTTTCTTCTTTGGAGCATAAATAACCACTATGAAAATTTTTTCAAAGAAGTTAAATACTGAAGAAACCAGATTTCTTTAGTGTGCTCTGTTAAAATATAAAGACTAGAACAGATTAAATGTTGACTCTTATTCACAGAAGAGCTAATCATGCATTACTTAAGAGTGAAAGAGTAAATATACAGTGCACCACTACTAGATATTTATCTCCTGTGAGATTGTAATTATCCTGCTGTATGAAACTCATTGAGAGATAGTAATTTAGGTGGAAGCATTAGGATATAAATCTAAATTTATTAACATTTGAAATGGGAAAAGTGTATATTTTAAAACATTTACTAAGGAAGTTATTAATTAAAGCTTAAACTTTCAGATTTTTCTACCAGGGAATCAGTCTCTTGAATTCGTTCTCTTTTTCTCTTCTCCTCCTTCGTGTTCACTGATTGTAAACTCTGGCAGAAAATTCTGGTTGTTCATCCACTTCTGGACTTTACTCTTGCTTCAGAACTTAAGTTTTGTGTGTGCATCCATTTGACAGATGAGGCTTATTTTTATATAGACTCTTGGTTCCTCATACCTAGGCAGATATACTCTAGTTTCAGAGACACCACCCCCTAATTAGTTGATTGAGTTTTGCAACCTGATTGTTTTGGGAGCGGGGGGGTTCTTTTTCTTATCCCCCACAGTGGGACCCAAGACCCATACCAGGATTGGAGTCCAGTATTTCTAGTGTTTGTATCTGGGAGGCAGTAATGATAAACCCTTCTATTTACAGAAAGTCATTTTTGGTTTGTCTTAGAAATGAGTTTCAAAAATACATTTTTCAATTATGAATACTTGATGAAAGGCATAGGGAACCACCGTTTCTGTGTGTGGTCCCTATTACATCATACTTTTTTTTTTTTTACAAACATCGTTCTTGTTGTTTTAATTTTTTTTTAATTACATTATATGAAGAGAAAATGGGTAATGTGACAACTGTGAACATATGTAAAGAGTGATCGTGGAAGACGACTAGAGATAGCAGGACCATGTTCTTCACTTTTTTAGTTTTAAATAACAAATTTCCTTTGTGTTTCCATTGCATATTTGATCTTAATTGCACTGCTTTGATTCTTTTGTAGATTCAGATCATGTCAAGCACTGTGGCTGAAAAAGACCAGAAGATCCAGTCTCTCCTAGAGAACCTGCAAGAGATGGAAGACAGATTAGTCCAGTTAGAAGAGTTATCTAATCAACAGTCATCTTCAGAACAGCAGCAACCCAGTCAGTCTACGAATGAGGACTCTGCCTCTGCCGAGATCGAAGCTCTAAAGGCCGCTCTGGTAGAGAAAGAGAAAGCCTGTGCTGACAAAGAGCTGATGGCAAAGAAAGCTATTGCTACTGCTAAGAAGTTGAAGTTCCAGCTGACCCAGGCTAACAGCAGTCTTGATGATGCTAAAAAGGCTCTTGATGATGCTAGAAATCAGGTTAGGGAACTTGTTGTTGAAAACCAAACTCTTCAGACTAGACTATCTGTTGTGAGCTCTGAAGTTCAGCAGTCTTCTGATATTGTTACAGAACTTTCACTTGAAGCTCAGAAGTCTGGTGCAGACCAAACTACAGGTTTAGACACTTCACGATCTAGGATTGATGAGCAGCAGATTAAATCAGACATGATAGATCTGGAAAGTGCACAAGTGGAAAGCAGAAGTGCAGAATTAGAATTGAGCCTCAATGTGTCCAGTGTCCAGGGTTTTAGCGATGTGTCTTTGGAGATGGAAAGCCTGCAGGCCCAGCTGGCAACTTACAGAGAGTGCTGTGAACGGCTTCAACAGCAGGTACAAGACCTCACTGAGGCTGGTTTTGCAAACGAGTCAAAACTGAAGCAGAAACAGAATCTCATTGACCAGCTCGAAGGAGTTAAAGAAGGGCTGAAGCTAACTGTGACTGAAGTAGAGTCAGCTTATCAGCAACTTCAGGAGGAGTTGGAGAATGCCAAGGAAGATTTTATAGCTTCCAAAGAAGCTCTGGAAAAGAAGTGTGAGATTTTATCTGAGCAAGCTCAACAGTGGAAGTCTTTTACTGACAGTCTGCAGCAGGAGGTGACTGTGAAGGATCACAGAATTCAGCAGATGGAAGCTGAGTTGCATCAGTTACATGCTGAACATTCAGAATCAACCCATTTGAGGGAAAGTGTCAGAGAAAAGGATATTAGACTGGCAGAGTACAGTGCACAGCTAGAGTCTTTGAAATCTGTTCTGGACAGAGAGTCTGAAGCAACAGAAGAATTGAGAAATAAACTGACCAAGGCAGACGAAACCATTGAAAACATGAGAATTAATTTAGAAGAGAAAGAGCAGGCTGTAGCTCAGTCTGCATCTTTACTTGATGAAATGCAAACGCAGGTTCAAGAAAAACAGGTTGAAATAGAAGCACTGAAAGAATCACTGGAACAACAGCAAGTAGATTTTAAGGTTACAGAAGAGAACCTGCATTCGCAGCTGACGATTCTGAGCGAACAGGTTGAAGTTTATAAGAGCAAAGTTGAGGTCTTGTCATCACTTTTAGAGAACAGTCAGCAGGACCAAGCTGCAGTGGCAGCTGAGTGTGAGTCTTTGAAACAACAGCTCCATCAACAAGGAACATACATCGCTGAACTTAATGGAGTTGTTGATGACCTTAAAACACAAGTTGAAGATTCCAGAGCTAGAATGCATAGTGAAAATGCTGAGGAGTTGGAATCTCTTAGGGCTACTTTAGCAGAGTTTCAGCACCAGGTGGAAGAACAAAGCCAGGTGATAAGCACCTTTGAGCAGAGCCTGAGTAATGAGGTTAGAGGTCAGAGTGTAACTGAAACAGTACAGACGGCTCAAACGAGTCCAACTGAAAGCTTGGATGATTTAAATCTTCAGTTGATGAACTACCAGACTTTGATTAAAGAGTTGAATCGAGAAATATTGGGGTTGAAAGAAGTCCAGAGCCAAGTTTCCGAAGAACCTCTGAACAAAGATGCAGAATACTGGAAAGCAAGTCTGGATCAGCTAGTTCTAGAAAAGACAACAGTGGAAGAAGAGAGAAATCAACTACGATTTGAATTGGATGGCCAGTTGGAGATTGCAGAGAGAATGCAAGAAGTTGTCTCAGAAAAACTAGCACAGGTTCAGAACTTACAGAATGCATATGAGCATCTTCAGTCCAGCTTATCTGCTTTATCTTCTGAGAAGGAGCAGCTGCTAGTGAGTATAGACTCTTTAAAAGGAGAACTTGATGGTATGGATCAGGTGATTGCAGAAAGTCAGTTTGCTGAATCTAAAGCTAAAGATGAAGCATCCAAATTGAGATCTGAGAGAGACCAGTTGGTCCTCAGAATTGGCAAACTGGAACAGGAACTTTTGGTTGTGCAGCAGCAGTTGCATAAAACAGATTCTTCTTCTATGTCTGAATTGGCAGTTGTAACATCAGAAAAATCTGTAAAATGGAGTGATCAAATTGCCGTGGAAAAGGCAGCCATTGCTGTTGAGCACCTTCAGCAGGCTGGTGATACCCCTACTCAGGGGACAGTAGCAGAGCAGGAGACCTTGGAACTATCTCTGAAACTCAGAACTGCTGAAGACAACCTGAGACAAGTACAGGGCCAGTATGAGAAGACTAAAAGCCGCTTGCAGGTGGCAGAAGTCAAATGTGAGAAAATGCTGGTCAAGCTTAAGGCGTTCAAGGACAAGAATGACAAACTGCAAATTCAGGTTTGTAATTTTATTTTGGTCTGATTTCAGTAATCTGTTTTATTTGATTGTTTTACCTTAGATATTAAAGTGTGGGTGAGGGAGGAGCATTACTAGATTTAAGTAATGAAGACAGCAACAGTAAATAGTAAAACTTATTGCCTGGCATTTTTGCTCAAGCTGTTCAAGCCAATCCTAGGTTTTAAAACAAAAAAGTCTCCCAAAAACGTTCTTCCTGATCATATTAAAAAGTGTGAAATTCTTTTAGCAAGCAACATTTCTTCTTCTTTACTTCCTCTTTTACTACTTCAGGTGTCGAGGGAGGTTCTGCTTCTTGGTCTTCTCGCCACCTCGACCACAGAAACATTGTGCATTTGTAATGTCTCTGATGTTATGCTTCCATCTTGTTCTTAGTCTGCCTTGTGCTGTGTGTCTTTCTCCACTTTCAGTGAATGCCTTGTATGGTATGCGTCACAAGACATTTTCTCTTAATGGGCAAAGAATTTGATTTTCTGCCTTTGTATGTATTTTAGATAGAATCGGTTCTGTGCCGACTTTTTCTCATGATGAGAGGTTTTGCACAGGACCTGCAGCAAATATGATATGATGTTTTAGGTGCACGCTAAAAATAATTTCACGCCTGTTTGTTATAAAGTTTAAATACTTAATTAGTAGATATTGTTTTTGGGATGAGGACATTGGCTCTAAGTGGCATGGAGAAACTTCATCATTTAGAACTGATCCAGAACACATTTTACTGAGTTCCGCAGAGAGAGATATCATCATCATCATCAAATGTCTTGCCCACTGGCATGGGCGATCATGCTTCTCAACAATCTGCAACTGCATGTATCAGTTCGTGTGCTGATACCCCTCTATGCCATGTCCTCCTTGGTCTTTCCACAGATCTTTCCCTCTTCTCATATCATAACCAAAAAATGATGGCTGTCTCTTTCTGATGTTTTTGATAAGTTGTCTTCGAGCATTCACCTCTTTTATTTAACAATCTGGGTTGTTCCTCCTAGCTGTTCAAGGAATTCTAAGGATTCTTCTGTAAAACCGCATCTCTGAGGCCTCCAGATATTGTTCTGCTTCACAGCCTGTGTTAAAACTGGCTCTACATAGCTTGCGAGAATTTCCTCCAATGACATGGATTTTTTGCACAAAATATTCTTCATTTTGTAAAATGCAGTTTTGATCTGTCCTGTTCTGTTCTTTATCTCTGTGATACATCTTATATATACTTTTTATTTACCCTTAAAAGGGTTGTTGGCACATTGTGTTCTAGTTTACAGCCAGTCGGTGATATTTATGATTTCCAGCCAAATGCATCCGAATGCGGCAAAGCATTAATTTGTTGCTCTTCACGACATCGTTGTTAGACAGGCAGTCGATTTTTTTAAACTCCCTAAACAGGGTTCATGATCTCTCACAGAAAAGTGAAGAGAGATATGGAGATTTCTGCTTTCTGGAGAGGCACCTAGTGACAAAAGGAATAACCCTAATATTCTTCTACACATCAGAATATTTATGAGCATTCAATACTTATTTGGATAACACATTTCTGAATCAGTCTGTAACCATGACCCGACTGCAAAAGCAGCAAGTGAAAATGGATGAGGCCAGATAAGAGCACTGTGCAGGAACCAAAATAATAATAATAATAAGCACACAAAGCTGGTGTCATTAGCCATTACATGCTGAGGAAAATACTCCAGGAGGGGATTCAAGCAGCACCCTATGGACTGAATGGTTCAGTGTGTAGTGAAGATGATCAGTTGACTAATTAATATATAGAAACAATTGAGTAAAAGCAAAGGAATCTTTTTTTCGCCTTTAGGTGTATTGGTTATATAGGGCTAGACCTATTTTATAGACCAATTGGCACTTGATGGGTGGCGTGGTCAGCATCAATCCGGCCGTCTTTACTTCCCAGGACTGCACCTGGTACTCACTCAAGGCTGGGTCGACCTGGGAGCCAAGGCCATTGTTTTGAAGGAAAAAAGTCTGGCTCCGCCAGGGCTCAAACCCACGACCTTCTGATCTGCAGGCAAACTTCTCTTCACGACTCCCGACTCATTAACATATTTTTGTATAAGTTATTTAATAACCTGCTCTGTTGTGGGGTTACAGTGACCCACTGCCCCTAAAAAGCAAGTTATAGGTTAGAGCTGTTCCCTTTCAAATCGGAGTGCATCTGTCTGAGAGGCGAGGTACTATCAGTCTGCATACAAATAAGTTACATTTGTGAAACACATGTGCACACAAAACTCAAGTACTGGGACAGAACTAAAGTCCAAAATTGGCTAAGCCGCCAGATGTTTTCTTTGAAGTTTATACTATGAATGTGAAGAAGAAGAATTTTTTTATTCAATGTCATAATCATACATCTAGTAAAACTCTTCTTTTTTTCCCCCCATGAAAACTTGCAGGTCGATGAACTGCAACAGAAACTAGGCCTGCAAGAAGGCTCACCCAAAAGAGACGGTAACCTTAGAGAGGATAGACGTAGATTGGAAGAGCAAGTGAATGCGCTGAACAACAGACTCCGAGATGTTGAAACTCACAATGGAAAACTGATCCATGACAATTCAGTTCTGAAAGAACAGTTAAAGAGTGTTGAAGCCACCTACAGTAAGGCTAGATTTGATGAAGTAACCACAGCACTGTCTAGAGCACAGGAAGAGCTTGAAGAGAGAAATGTAGCTTTAGAGTTAGCAAAGAACCAGGCTGAAGATTTGCAGCGGTCTGTGGACCACCTGAGAGCAGAGCTCCAGCTGAAGATTGATGAGGTAAATAATCTGAAGTCAGAAGTTTCACTTCAAGCAGATGTGGCTGTTACAATCTTGAATGAAAAGCTGGTTGGTTTACAAATGCTTCTCACTGAGAAAATTGCAGAGATCACTGAGCTTAACAGACGGCTAAAAGAAGAAGAAGAATTACAGCTGGCTTTGAATGTTCAGGTTGCTGACCTGCAGCTTGAACTGGAACTGAGTAAGAAGGATGCAGAAGTTGCCTTAATATCAGAGCTGTCTAAACTTCGGGAGGAGATGAATAATGAGATTTTAGAGTTCAAAAGTGAACTTATTTTAAAGAATAATGAGTCCATTGTGCTTGCTCAGGAGAGAGATTCAGAAGTCAAACTAAATGAGTCCTTAAATGAAGAACTAAAACATTTGGAGGAAGATATTACTAGATTAAATGAGGAGCTAAGCGGTGAGAAAGTCAGAGCAAATAAGGCTGAGAAAGAAGTGTTACATTTGCAACAGAGATTGTCAGAAGAACTAAAGTTAAAGGATGTTTCTGAAAAAGAAAAGGAAGAAATGCAGATGACTGAGCTTAATTCACTGAGGAGTCAGTTAGAGACCTTGCAGTTTCAGTATGACTCATTGTCCCAGGACAATGCAAACTACCAAAGTCTGACATCAACTCTAACAACGAACAACTCGTCCTTGAAGCGAGAAGCTGAAGAACTGAGATTCCGACTGAAGAAAGCTGAAGAAGGTCATCAGAATAAGCCAGCAGATGTTGGTAATGGCAAAGATGTCTTTGTGCTTACCCAGCGCCTGGAAGATGCTGAGAGAGAGCGAGATGATCTCAGTGAAGAATTTGAAGGCGTCAGAGAGGAACTGATTTCTCTGAGAAGAGAAAAGACAACTTTAACCCAGCAGATTGCAGATCTCACCAGCACAGTCCAGCAACTGCACATTCAAGTGTCCAGTCTTCAGGCTCAAAGTACTGTTGAAGAGGAGGGTGATGTAACTGCTGTTAAACTTGAAGAAACAATGTCACCAGGAAAAGATGCCTTTTCACGAGAACAGATTAATGTGCTAGAAGGTGAACTGACGGATCTCAGAGATGAGTTAGCCACTTCTTTGGATGAAAATCAACAACTCAGAAATGAAATTAATGGCCTTAACTGGAAGTTGGAAGAAGCATCTAACTTAGAACAAGAGGTTGAAGATCTCCAGTCTGAATTATCATCATCTGCAATGGAAAAGAAGATACTCAGTCATGACCTAGAAGAAGTCAGGGTTGAAATGTCAGCTCTGCAGACGGATAAACATCTTCTGATGAAAGAAGTGGAGAGGCTGAGTGAGTTGCTGGAGAATCAAGACTTCCAGGAGAGAGATGTTGTAGATTCTGAAGCTGTCGCAGTCCGTCAGTCAATCAGTGATGAAATGCTGCAAGTGATCACAGCCAAAGATTCAGAGATAAATGAGATTCAAGGAATTCTTGACTTAAGAACCAATCAGTTGACAGCGTCTTTGAAAGACATTACAGCCAAGGACAAATTACTCATTGAAAGAGATCAAGAAATCTTAGCACTGAAGGATGAGCTGAGTCAGCTTGATCAAGTCTTGAAGGACAATGAGGACATGGAGCAGAGAAATGCAGCCTTGGTAGAAGAACTGAGAGCTGCACAAGGAGAGAATGAAGCTCTGAGAAAGAAGTTTGATAATTTCAATCAGAAAATTGATTCAGTAAAATCACTAGAGGCCGATTTTGACTCGCTGAATGCAGATTTTAACAAAGTTTTGGAGGAGAAGAGTGGCATGGCTAGAGAGATAGATGAACTACACATCAAGATTCGAGACTTGATGTCACTCCAGTATGAGACAACTTTCACGGTGGAGCAACAGCATCATGTGCTGCGAGAGAAGGAAACCCTACAGAGACGTGTTGAGGAACTTGAAGGAACAGAGGGAAGTGAAATGGAAGAAAATGCAAGGCTGAAACGAGAGCTAGATAAGGTAAGCATTGTGAATAAATTCTGTTAATATTTTTCTTGTTGTTGCTTGTAATATAGGGCATACAGTAAAGACTGCTGTAGGTTAGCTAGTTGGTGGGTTGACAGATTATGAGTTTACCGATTATGTTTATTGCATACTGAACCATTCGATCCATAAGTGCTCCGAGCCTCGTCTCTGTAAATGTCACAGCTGTAGGACTGACGACACTGGTTCTGTGTTGGTTTCTTATTCTTCTTTAACTTACTGCTTCAGTTCAGTTCTTGCAGTCTGGTCATAGTTGCAGATTCACAGTCATCACTTGGTTCCTGCAAAAGTCTTACTTCTGGTAGAGCATTCAGTAAGGACTACTATAGAGGAGCTACAAATGGATCATCACAGCCTGAGGAGAATGGTGCTGTGAGGAGTGACCGGGCTATCTGGCTGCCGCTAATCATATAATGGAAACACAAGATGGATATACAATCAGACTTTTACTGGTGCCTTCGGAAATTGGAATTCAGGGCTTGCTGTTGAAGATGAGGACAGGGCTCTTTTTGGAATGTCCCAAGTGCTGTCATGTCGAATCTTAATTCAACATTAAAAATTCTACTATAGGAGTATGGGGAGGAAGGTATACAAAAAGTCAAATCCCCCTTTTGTGCCATAAAATGTCAGGATTTAGCCCCATATTCTTACAGACCAGTTGACACTCATTAGTGATTTAGTCAGCATTGTGCCAGCCAAGCGTATTGGACATATAGTGCTAGACGTGTATTTTATACACCAGTTGACATTCAGTGGGTGATGTGGTCAGCATCACACTGGCTGCCTTTACTTCCCAGGACTTTACCCGCCACCCACCCAAGACTGGGTCAACCTGGGAGCTAAGTCATTTTTGAAAGAGAAAAAATATCAAGCTCTGCTCAGTTTTCAACTCACAACCTTCGGGTCGGCAGGCGAGCATCTAACTGCTATGCCACCATGGCCTCTCAACCAGCTATACTTCCTAGAAAATGTCTGGGTACCAGATTTAGGCTGTGTCAACCTGGAAGTCCAGGCCAGTGGTTAAAAATATGTTGTTTGCTCCAAACAAAAAAAAATGTGTATACAGATGCTCCAAGTAGATGGGGTTAATGCAGTAAAGTTAGTTGTCTGTCCATTACGGGATCTTGCAGGACCAGCTCCAGCGTTGTTTTGCTGTTTGTGAGTTAACTGGGCATTTAGTAGTTTTGCCATAGCTGTCTCAGTGGTTGGCTCTCAATACCACTATTGACACCAACACAAGATGGTCTGCTGCCAAATCGCCTGCAGCTGGCACTGAACCCGGCACATCAACTTATAAAGGACATTAGCAGGGCTTAAGCCACAGACACTGACTAAATGCTATAACGGAATAATAAATGTAGGCCTTTAGGATAGAACTAAAATTCCATTGAATCATGAGATGAGGGGTAGATGCTAGCATTGGATAGGACACCGACAGAGGAAATCTAGTAACTGTGTAACTAGAATGTCCTTGCATTGGAACCCAGAGGACTGCATGATTTCCACAATGCACAATTACTTGTTTAGTCCAAAGGAGAGGTAACACCAGTACATTTGGAACAAAGCATGCTGCAGAAGCTGCCAGATCAGTAGAACATTGCTCTGGGTGTCAGCCTATCAGAGCTTTCCTCCTAGACCAGCTACCAGCCAAGGCAAAGGACCTAGACTGCCCTGTCATAGCATGCAATTTTCAGATTGCATTTCCTCTTTCTAGGATAAGGCAAGTCCCAGGAGCAGAACAATTATAAGGCGACCCGTTTTGCAGTGAAGTTGAAACCTTGACTACTGACTTATAGGTGCAGTGACATTGATTCACTAGATTTGTATGCTTTCTCTCATCGCAGATCTTGGCTTCGCTGCAGCAAGCTGAGTTTGACAACAAGTCATTGATCTCACAGCTACAGCTGGCCAGGACTGAAGGCATGTCCGAATCGGAGATCCACGATGACCACAAGAGGCTGCAGGCTCAGTTCACGGAAGTCATGGAGCAGAAAAATGCTGTGGTTAGTCAGCTCAACGATGCCTTACACACACTGAAGCAGAGGGAAGCCAGGTGTCAGCAGCTGGCTATGCAGGTAAAAGAAACATTTTAGTCTTCAAGTTTGGTGTCACAAACCAGGTTTAAAATAAAATGTAAGGCATAATTTTGTGTGAGGGTGGAGTATGAGATAAGTTAAAAAAAAAAAAAAAACTGTTGTCTCTAAGTTTGGTATCACAAACCAGGTTTAAAAAACATAAAGACAGAACTTTTTAATGTGGGTGGAGTAGGGTTAAAAAAATCAAATTTTAGTCTCTAAGCTTGGGATCACAAATCTAGTTGGGGAAAAAAAATGCAGGCATAATTTTGTGTGTGGATCGAGTATGGGATAAGGTAACCCCTCCTGAAAGAAAACATTTTAAGTCTCTAAGTTTGGTGTCATAAACCAGGTTTAAAAAAACATTTAAGGCATAATTTTGTGTGTGGATGGAATATCGGAATAAGGTGGACACCCCCCCCCCCCTCCCAAAAAAAAAAACATTTTGGTCTTTAATTTTGGAGTCAGAAATCAAGTTTAAACAATTTAAGGCAGAACTTGTTTTGTGAGTGCCTTTTGGTATTCTTAATCTGTAATTAAATGTATGTGTTATCATACTAATTATATTTTTAACGGTAAATATATATATATATATATATATATATATATATATATATATATATATATATATATATATATATATATATATATATATATATATATATATATATATATATGTACAAACTGCTAATGAAAACAACACAATTTCCTTGTCGTTTTGTGTAATAAATAGTTTTTTAAAAATATTGTATTTATAATTAAACTCATAACTTCTGACTCTACTGTATCTGAGAGTTTAAACATTTTATAACTTTTGATGGAAATACAGGATCCGCAATTGGTGTTTTATAGATGTATTTAACAGCTTCATGATCCTCAAGTACTAGGGTTCAATTTCCATAATATCCCTATATGGGGCAAGAATAGATCTACTGCCTCCCTAACAAGCATGCCGTATGAGTTGACTAATTAGGGGCTTCCTTCAAGTCAGAGTGCATTATTAGTATTTCCAAAGACAGCCAAGGGTATACTGAACAAGACTTAATTGTGGAGATGGCTCAGCATTATTCTTGTAATGATTATGATAAACTTGTTCATACTTAATTGTCACTAGTTTTACAACAGATCAGGACACTTAATTCTAACTGCTCCTCATTTGCCCACTGCCAGGTCAGTCAGTTAGCCGAGGACAGGGGATACTTAAACACACAGCTGGCAAATATTTCCAAGTCTCTGAGAGAGAAAGAACAAGAGTGGCTGGCCATGAGTCACCAGTATGGGGATCTTTACCAAGCTTATATTGGAGCACAGTCTAAGGTAGTACCCATTATCATCGTCATTATCATCAAGTGGCAGGCCCTTTGCAAAACATCGCTCTCATCATGGTTTGCCTGAAAGAAACTCAGTCTCCTGTGCCCATCTTCATGCTGGTCAGCCTCTAGCCCTCCTTCCTGGTACCCTGCCTTCAGCTGTTATTTTTTTCCGTTTCGCTATGGTGCTTGATATGGTCAGATGATATTTATTAATAGATGTTCAGATCTAGAATGTCTGCATTTCTTTACTTTTTTTGTGTTCATGGTATAAGTTTCTTGGGATAGAAATGTGATATTTTCCCTTGCTTTCTCAGACATATAGCTTCAGCCTTTGGTAACCTTTTAGATTGCCAAGGCAGGTGAGTGGCCTGCTCTGTGTCACTTCTGCTGACATCAGAAGTAGTACCCATGCTTTAAATAATAATATCACGTGAGCTTCCCTTCCGGAACTGCTACTGTCTGTTTGCGCCTATCTAACTTATCCCATACTCTTATTTTGTTTTCATATTAAAGTTGTATTCTTGTTTGTGGTGAAGCTTCCTGGTTTGACTTTTTGTTTGCTTGATATCTTTCACAAGTGTGTGTTCATTATCATACTTTGTCTTCTATCATAGAACAAAGGGCAGCAGCAGTTGTTATGAAGTGATCTCTATTGAACCCTTTCATCCTGGAAACCTTAAAAAAAAAAGGGGGCAGACCCCAGAAATTCCCGGTGGGGAGGGGATCTTTTACATTTTCTTTTACATAGGTTACACAATTAATTTTTTTTCATTGTATATATTTTTATCTATTTTTTTTGTTGTTGTAAATTAATTATGATTAGTAATCAGTAAACATGACTAGAGTCAAAAAATGAAATTAATCCCGTTGGGCCGGAAAAAAAAGTCCCTAACAAGCAGCTGTACTAAGGGTCATCAAAGGTTACTAAAGTTAGCTTGTGCTTGGGTTTCGCCATTCTGTTGAAAGCTTTAGCCCCAAAAGCCAGTCAACTAGGAACATGTCTATAAATGGATTTAGATGATTTTTTTTTAGAGTCTGCTGTCTGGTGGGGGCTAAAGGACAAATGAGGAAGAAGAAGAAGGGGGGAAAAAAAAAACCAGAATAAGCATAAGAATGAGAAAATAAGAGTAAAAGAAATATCAGATTGGGCAATATGTTTGATCATTGCACATGACCATATCCCTAGAGTTTATGATTATAAGTCTGTGTATGGTCCACATGTTTGTCTTATCTTCTGCATTCTGACAGCTAAGATGTAAAACAGTATATTTGCTAGTTCATTTATATACTACAGTTTGTTTACTAAAGATAATAGTGCTGAAAAACTGATAACTCTACCTCATAAGGGTATGTCAAATCCCATGTTTTCCACATCATTTCATTAGTGTAGGTTCTATCTAAAACAGTTATTACCTTAACTTTTTCTAACCAAGACAGTTCTTTTTTAAAGTAACTGTTTGATAGTTAAGTTTATCATGAACAATTTTCAGTCTAGACAAGAATATCTAAAAAAAAATCTGTATGGTGACGACTGTCTTGAAATCTCCAAAAGATGTTTGAACAGTAGAAACTTTGCATATGTGTGTAGTTGTAGGATAAAGGTGTATGTGGGGCAATGAACAGGGTGATAGATTGGCTGCTGCTCCTCTGGGCAGTGAGCTGCTAAATGATAAAGCAGTCATGGTGAAAGGCTGTCTGGGATCTAATATGCAGTGCAGTAGAACAGACTCAGAATACATACATTGAATGATTGATTCAAAAGGGAAAGTGGGGGGGGGGGGGGGGGGGTAGAAGTTCTGGAATATATTCAACATTGAGGGGAAAACATAGGGGGACTAAACAGCTCAGAGTTATCATATCGACTCTTCATTGGCTACTGAGGCAGGAGTTGAAGCACATATGGGAATATCCTGCATGCAATGATGTCAGTTCTTGATTGATTGATTCATTCATTCATTCTAGATGCTGGACAGGAAGTGGGGGGAAGTGGGGCAGGACTGATTTGTAGGAAGCGAGTTGTTATTCAGGGGATTTAACACACACACACACAAACTTTCAGTTTCATATTATCTACCTGCACACATGCAGAAGAAGAACTATAGGGTCGGAGAGTGTGTTTGATCTTTGCACAGCAGCTAAACTTGTATTGTTCTACTGTTGTACTTCTATGACACCACAGAATGCAGAGTTAGAGAGGAGGATAGCTCTGGAGTCAGTTCAGAAGGAACTTGAGGATGAGGAGACGGCTGCTGAAGCAGATCAGATCAGGGGAGAGAATGATCAGACAGCCAAAAAGTGAGTTGTGTTGACTGTGTTTGTATTCATGTTTAATTGATTCATAGAGACATGGATAGATTATGTGATGCTGTAAGCCATCAGTTTTAATGCCAGCAGGATTTTTGTTGTTACAGAACATACTGGAAATATTTTCTTTCCACAATGTGCTTGGCTATAATCCTATATTGTACACACCTTGGTGTATTGTTCCTATACTTCAAGTAGAAGAAAAAAAACTGTCTTTTTTTTCCCCCATAGTTGTCCCTTTGTGGGATGCAATTTTTTGTTACTTTAAGCCCCTCCCTGGCTTTTGCAGGAGACCTAAATATAGCCGGGCCATATAAATATAAAGGGGTTTCTGGGACCTCTCCAGGAAACACCAAGAAAGAAGAAGGAAGACATGCACCAGTGACAACAGGACGAGCGGTTTGATTCGGATGGAAGCATCAAGCCCAGAAATGGCACAAAAACTAGTATTTAGTCACGAAAGTGACGCAAATAACCCAGACCACAGATATAGGTGAAGACTGCTAGCAGCCTAGGCTAGCTAGCTGCAGTCTGAACGTGGTCGAGCTTTTCTTTTTTTTTTTCTCAAAAGGACTTGGACCTCTCCATGGGTGATCCTCATCCGCATGGCGGTACTTTGTGACACCAGGTGTTTATCGCTTGTGTGATGTCCTGGTGGGGTACAACTACCTGCCTACTTTTTGTGTGTGTGTGTGTGGAATGCAGTTTAAAAAAAATTATTAAAAACCCCACCCCGGCTGTTGTTGGGAGCTCTAAATATAACCTATGGGTTGAACTGATTTTCTGGTACTAGCGCCTGAGTGATTCTCATCCGAATGGTGGAACTTTGTGTTGTATCCCCGGGTGTTTATCACTTGTCATGCCGTCCTGGTGGAGTTGAACATCAGTCAGTCAGTCTGTCACCTCTGTTTACTACTTAGTGATGTAGAAATGGCTGTCATGAGCCTGCGGATTTTAAGGCCGCATGAACAGCGCAGTGACCACCAACTGTGCATTTTAGGAAGGAAAATTTTGTTTAAATCCCATACCAAAGATGGAATCTAAGTCTCCTGCGTGAAAGCCAAGTGTTCTAACCCCCTCAGCCAGCCTAACAGTACATTATCCTATATTGGATACTGGGTCAGAATACTATAGTGTACAGTCTTGGTGTATTAGTCTTATGTTACACAGCTCATGGGCTACTACTTTGGCACTGACAATATTCAGCTTATAATGTATTCATTATGGTATTCATATTAAGTTGAATTGAGTCAAGAATTGACATCACAGCACTTTAGGCATACAAAGATACATACAGGCATACTTGAGATACAAAGTATGCTCACTACTCGTGACTTTTCCAGTGAAGCTGGCATATTATTCACATGATAGTGAATTTGTTGCAGTACTTTGGCACTCATGCTGTATTCAGCTGCTAATGAACATATTACTGATGTCTCTGAAGGACTGCAGGAGTGACCAGGAGAGATAAAATCAGGATTGAGGTCATAAGGGACAAAGTTGTCATAGAACCAATTGTAAATTACATACAAAGACAGCAAATCAGATGTTTTATCCACTTGGAGAGAATGCCTTATGAACCATGCAAGGCAAACACCAAGAGAGGAGAAGGACATAGAGCACAAGGTGGACCAAAAACTAGGTGGTAAGGTAACATTAGAGAAACCCTACAACAGCATGATGTGTATGACCAGAAGAGCTGGGAGCAGAACCTTATATCTCCCTCGACACCCGAAGTGGTAAAAGAGGAAGTAAAGAAGAAGATTGCAGTACTTACATAATTAAAATGAGTTGACTACATTTCTCTTCTCTAAGATTCTGTATTGAAACATGAAAGTGTAGGTAGACGTATGAATGAGAAGAAAAGAATGCATTTAAATATACTTTCTTCTGTATTATCTGTCAGGCTGGAGGACCTGAAGGCGATGTACCAGACCTTGCAGGACACCTACATGTCAGTGAATGCCACACTGGCCAGGGAGAAGTCTCTGAGAGAACAGCTGGAGAGGGAGCTTGGGGAGGCTCATGAACAGATCAAACTTTTGGCTGCTGTGGCTAATCAAGAGGTATTTGTTGTCTTTTGTCTTCAAGCCCATGCCATCAGGCATTGATCCCTGTGCCTGTTCATAGCCTTTTCTCACTTGTACTGTTGATAATTTTTATAAGTTTTTATTAGGTTCACTTTTTGTTTGTTTGTTGTTTATACAGATGTCCCTCTGTGCCATGTGGTGTCCGTCACCATGTGTGTATGCAGCTTTCTTAAATGTTTAATGTTGATCATTTTTTTAATACAGTTGTTCCTCCATGCGGTATGATGTCAGTCACTGTGTTTGTCCTCAGCCTCGTATGTGTACTTTGATCATTTTTTATGTGTATTTCCCTCTATGCCAAGCAGTATTAACATTTTCTCTTTTGTCTCCCCTTCTCTTTCCTTCAACTTTCCTGTTGTCTCAACATGATATTGTAACATTTGTTTTACAAATTGGTCTCATATCTATGTGTTGGTAGGTGCATGTATATATGAGTGCAAAAGTGACTGTGATGGGTGCAATTTTAAATTTTATTTCTTTCTTCTTTTTTTTTCCTTTGGGTGGTAAATTGATTACTTTGTCCTTGAGAAATTAGTGCAGTTTCATTCTTGCCTTGTGTGCATTGAAAAGCTGGTTGTGTTTTATTGAAAATTAAATCCTTATTTATTAAATTGTTAATAACATTTTTCAGTCTGCATCACACGTAAGTCCATATGTGAATTTTCTGTATTCATAGGTCTGTGAGAGAGAATAATAATTTCTTTTGTAAAATCAGAGAGGATTAAAACTTCCTCTGTCAGTGATCTTCTTTCGGATCTACATTGATGTGCCTGAGAGCATATTTGTGTATGTGTATATTCAAAGGCTCTTCTAGGGGGTAATGAGCGAATGAATAAATTGGGAATCAACATCACTTCAAGCAAGATATCCCCATACGCAGGGCTTTTGTTGTTGCTTAGGCTGCTAGAAGGAACGCAGTACTGGCAATTGTCTTTAAAGGTATCATTGTTTTAACAGCTAATGTAATAGACACTTTGTGGTGAGTAGCAATGTTTTGTCGTCCATAACCACACCTTTTATTCTAGGTAATAACCTGCCCATATGTCCTCTATCCCCTTCTTCAGTATGCAGTGATGAGTTCCCATACTAATGGCAGGAAAGGGCAACAACGTGCACAGATGTAACCAAATATGTCAACTGCTCTTTATCCAAGACTGAAACAAGAAACACAGTCCTAAGCTCCAGCCCCAAGATGTCCTGTTTCACAGCATCTCTTTATGTTACCACTTTTTGTCCTTGTGTTTGTTTTGGGTGGCCCCATTTTGGAGGGGAAAAAAAGAATAGACCCAGTGTCCCCAAACAAACATGTTGTAAAAGACGATTAAATAGGGGTTTTCCTTCAAAGTCGGAGTGCAGCTGCCTGAGAGGAATGAACCAGCAGTCTGTATAGAATAAACCAGATCTGTAAAGAGGTTTTGTTCGCAAAACCCAAATTCTGGAAAAAGACTGAAGTCCAGAGGCAGGCGAACAACCAAAACTTTCTGCGAGAGTTTACAGTTGGTGCACACGAAGAAAAAGAAGAAATATTCCCATTTTTCATATTTCCATTCAGGTTCTTTATTTCTCTTCTGGAAAAGTTAGTTAGTATCCCTTACTAGATTTTGCAGAACTGATTCCATCATATTTTTTTTTTTTTTTGCTGTTTGATTCTACTAGGCAAGTTTACGTTAAGTAATTTGCCTTTGCTTTTGGATAATCGGTTCTTAATACAGTTGTCAAAATCAATGCAAAACTGTCTGTTGCCAAATCACCTATGGCTGGAATTAAAATGGGTACCTCAGAATTACAAACTGTGTTCACAGCAACCAGGTTACAGGCATCGACTGAGCTTCTCTGCAGTTGAATTCCCAATTTAAAGGCTTGGTCTTAGGAATTTTTTTCTTATTCTTGTTTTAGTTTTTGATGAAGACTTTGGTAAAAATATTATGTTGTATCTGTTTTTTTTTTTCTGTTGCTTGTCTGAGTAGGTAATCCTGTATTTGAAATTTGTAACAAAAACTAGTTGTTCCTAATCTGTGATAATTTATTTCCTTTATCCCAAGGTTCACATTGAATTAGAGGATGATAATGATCTTAGAATACGTGAGACCTCAACTATGCTGAGTAAGTGCTGTTCTCTTGTATTTTAGTTAATTTGTTTCTGTGTAATGTTTTTATTACTTTGTTTTTTCAAATATTTTTTTTTTCAAGTACTCTTTTGTATAAAAATTAGTATCACATGTAAGTCCATATATCTAAATATAGAAGCTACAGAGAGCAGATTTCTGGCATTGGAGACTTAACCTGAACACTTATTGATGAAAACACAAGGGAATGTGATGCTTTAGTTTACACAGATGGATCAGTAATTTGGGACAAGCGAAGTGAGTATTTACAGTGACCTCAAGAGGGAACACCATCAAGGAAATGAATGGTTCCTTTGCTGTTACAGTTAGTAGCTTCACAATGGCAACTGTGACTGTAACAAGAGAGTGTGGCTGTTTACTTAGGTGCTTACTTAGTGACTTGGTGAATGTGCTGAAGAAAATTCAGGCTCAGTTCATCAGACAAGAATTGATTACAACACTAAGCACTTTGTGAATGGCTGGCCTTATTAAAACCATCCTTGTGGTACTAAGCTCTGTCATGGTTCTTGATTTGTTATTCTCCTTCTTTGTTGTGTTCACCGGCTGTATACTCCCATGCAAAGTTCTGGTTGTTCGTCCACTTCTGGAATCTGTGTTACATGCACATCTGTTTTACAGATCTGACTCATGTATATGCACACTGTTGGTTCCTTATCTCTCAGGCAGATGCACTCCTACTTTGATGGAAGTAGGACCCCCTGCCTCCCCAACAAACATGTCATATGAGTCGACTAATTGAGGGCATCCTTCGAAGTTGGAGAACATCTGCCTGAAATGCAATAAACCAAGTCTGCATAAAAATAAACCAAATCTGTAAAATGGATGTGCACACACCACTCAGGTTCTAGAACAAGACTAAAGTTCAGAGGCGGATGAATAGTCAGAACTTTCTGCTGGAGTTTACAGTTGAAGAAAGCAAAGAAGAATAACGAAGATGTTGCACGCTGTTGCTGCTGATGTTCCCGGATTCATTCTCACTTGTTGGCCAAACTATTTCAGTCTTTGTTTATCAGTAAATTAAACAATGGTTATTGTTCCAATAGTTCTTCTAATCTTTTAATTTCTCACACTGTCTCTTCTGCTTTTGTTCATAGCATTTCAAAAACATCTCATTTCACTGCTTATTAGTTTTCTCTCGTGTTCTTTGGTTAATGTCTGACAATAGTAGCCTTAAGTTAGAATCAAGACTGCATTTTGGCCTATTTTTGGTCCTGCAAAAAATCAGAAGTTTCGGAAATAGGTTAGTTAGTTAGTTAATCAACAGATATCCTCATTGCACATCAGACAGGTCCATAAGCACTCAGATCCCATCTTCAGGATAGACCTCAGCCTTTCGGGACTGATAACACTAGTTCTGTGTTGGTTTGCTGTTCTTCTTTGGCTACCTGTATAGTCTTCATGTTTGACGACACCTTTTTTGACCTGAAGTTCTTGTCTTTTGAATATTGCCAATTAAGCGTCATCTCCTACTAAATCATCTTCTGAAATAGGCCATAGGTCAGGTAAAAGTCAAGGCTGTTTCCATGACCTGAGATGTATTGATGTTATGGTGGCTTCCTTATTATCTTCAACATTTCTTGGCACTCAGTTTAGGCTAGGTCAACCCGGGTCGGTCAGGTCATTTCAGACATTCCCCTCACTTGGGGTTTAAACTTATTTTGGCCACCAGTCAGGAGTGCTAACCACTGCACTACCACAGCTTACAGAATAAGTCAGGTTTGACACAACTTTCTGGATAGATTTTGATGCCAGATCTAAAATCGTTGGTCACCAGCAGTGGTCAAGGGAAGCAAAGATGGCAGGATTTCAATTGGATAATGTGAGAAGTGGTTTAATGTTACTTAGTGTTACCTGCTTGATGATGAGTTGGAAATGCCCTTGTAATGTAGCTGAAAAATATCATTGTGACTAAATAAGGACAGCATTCTCCTACATATTTATGCATAATCATCATCTTCTGCTGTCTCCTCTTTTCCCTTTTTTCCATCTTAGCATCAAGGTTTGGAGACAATTACGGATTTAGTTCTGGTATGTGCCTAATGCATCATAGTTTTAATTGTGACAGAAATACCATATTTGCAGAATAATCTGTTGCTTTTTCTTCTTATTGTGCCTGAGTCGAATGCTGTTTGGTGGTAGTTGTGTTGCATGGCTATACAGTTTTACTTACTACGAGTGGCATTAAGAAAGTAATGCCCCACATTTTTTCTCTCTCGCAAAATGTATGAAAGTCACTGACAGTGAATGACATTGTATCCTTTATATCATCATCATATTTTATTATATAAAATCTGTGACCAAAAGCCAACGTGAAACAATAGCATGTAGACCTTGTCTGTAACAGGTTTTTCCTGTTCACGTAGACCTATCTTGATGTCGTGCACAATATCCTCAGGTTCATCTCTCCACTTTCTGAAGCTCTAACTCTCTGAAACCAGCTACCAGTTGTGCTTCTATCACTCCATAATGTCCATACACAGTACACAAAAGTTGATAAATGTTTACCACAATTTCTGTTCTCACAGCCTGAAATTTTAAACAGTTAGCTGTTTGTAATGCATTAAGTCCTCACTCTCTATTTTAACGGATAATTTCAGCTGTTCCTATTGTCTAAATGACAGGTTATTTTATGCATACAAATTGGCATGTCAGCTTTTAAGCCTGCAAAACTTTGTTTCTGTCTTAATATTTCTTGGGAAAGAGGAAGTGGGTGAGTAGGAATGTGTGGCATTACTTTCTGAACGCCTCTCACATTTTTTAAATAATAAGATGAATGCAGGTATTATGCTGATTTGCTTTCAACTATGATTTGTGTGTGTGTGTCTCGACTAGTTACGTTAAGCGTCATTAGCGAGAATTTTTAATTATTTGGTTGTGGTTTCTACTTTGGCCGTTCATCAGGCATGGTTATAGTATATTAAAGTTGGACTGGACAGAAAAATGTGTCAAACAATGTTACTGGTCTGATAAAGTACACATGGTGAGAGGAGGAGGAAAAGGGGGGGGGGGGGGGGGGGGAAGAGAGATATAATGACCCAAAGTTTCATTGGGATATACATGCAGTTGGTGTGGTGTTTGGTTCTTGTTCACGTCTGTATTGAGGAAACAAAAATGCTTGCACTGATGTCTTAACAAATTCAGTTACAGAAAATATTGTGATCAAATGTCCAGGAAGGCCAAGAAGCACAGTACAAAAGCACAAGTCAATTACTTTCAAGGAAGCAACACTGTTGAATTGTAAAGCCAGATTTCTTCATTATGCTCAGACCAAATGTGAAATATATAATATCACATTTAATTTATTCTTTTATATTTTCAGCTCGACATGGCTTCGGCTACTGTAGTAGAATACAGAGTTGGCTGAAAGTGAAGAAGTAAGTATTAGTTTTGTTAAATTATGTATGGCAGATATGTTGGTTTGTGTCATCTCTCTTAGATTTAGAACCCAGGAGTATTTGTGTGTAGTAGTACTTCATGTTGTACATCCAACATTTCAGCCCATTGTAATTGCTTAATACTGCATACATAAAGCCCTAAATTATGTTTCTGTCACCTGTGATAGAACATCATCATCATCATCCTGTTCTGGCATTTATATTTCACATGGGGCTCACAGCCTCTCCTCCATGCCACTGTGTCTTGTGCTGTCTTTCTTCTCTTCCAATCATATATGGAATCCAGGTCAGCACCTTTGGCCTCTCTCATCAGTATTATCTTTGGCTTTCTCTTGGACATCCTTGTTTCCTCACTTTGTTTCCCATTTCATTACCTGTCTAGTAATTCTCTGTGCACTTCACCTCAGGATTTTGTTCTCCGTATAGTTCATGACATGTGGTATTGGTGGTCATGTCATGTCCACAGCCTTCTGTCTCATGTAGTTTCAAGTAATTCGAACACAGATGGTCTTATATGTCATGATTTCAAACTGTCCAGCATCTCTTGGTTTTCCTCTGTCTGTCTTCCCTTCCAGCTTTCCTACCATTGTACTCCAGTTTCTTTCCTTTTCATGACATGATCAAAACCAAGAATATGCCCAACATATTGTCATCTTTGTTTTACTATGTTAAAACATCTAAAATAAATAATTTTTGAAACAAATTCTTAGGCATGAGAATAAGCAGATTATTTACTGCTTTACTAACATTTACTGTTACAAGGGTTGTTTTCTCCATTATCTACTTTTTCCTACTCCGTTTTGTTTTTGTTGCTTGATATCACCAGACAAACATACAGGGAGTCAATCTTTACTTACTTTCCTGAATTATTTCTTGACTGCACCAAGTTGAATTACACACATCTTGTGTTGCCTGGCTTGTTATTCTTCTCTAACCATTATTACATTCTTGTCAATGTTCCCTGTGGTTCCCATGCTCCATTTGTGTGTGTGTGTGTGTGTGTGTGTGTGGGGGGGGGGGGGGGGGGGGAATAGACCCACTGCTGCCTACCCCTTTTCCACCACAAGCTTGTCAAAAAATATGACTGATTTAGAGGTTTGCTGAAATTGTAAGTGTTAGGTTACCAGGTGAAGATATCACAGCCTAGCTGTAAACCATAATAGAATGTGCCCAACTGCCCTTTTAAGAGCAGAAGATATATCAGTGTCATTTCAACAATATTTGTATATGTTAGAATTACTGAGTGATATAATGTTAGCTTATTACAGTATAAATAAGGTGTGTATCATCATCCTCATCATCAAATTCCTTGCCAACTGGCATGGGTGATCATGCTTGTCCACATCTTGTTATCTCTGTCAGCATGTCTGTGTGCTGACACCCTTCAGTGCCGTGACACAAAGCTGTTAAGAATCTTCTTAGTTATCTGTCAATCCATCTGTGCAAGTTTTAAATATAAGCACACAAAAAAGGGGAAATTACTCTATATTTTTGTTGAAATGTTTGCACTAGTAGTTAACCCTTTCTCCTTGTTAAAAAAAAACTTCTTCCAAAATGTGAATAAGATAAAATGCACTGTTATTATTCTGTGAATGTCCACCCTAAGAAACTAGAGAAAGAGAATCAGAAGCAGAAGAAATTCCTAATCTTGGTCAGTTTATATTTTTAAAAATCCAGGGGGTTGAAACCTTTGACCACCAAGCAGACATGTAGGCCTGCTAACTGTTGCGACAAAATGGCCTCAAAGTCACTAAAAAAAAAAAAAAAAAAAAACCCCCCTTTCTCTTTTTACAGTCATTATTTTGCAAAAAGGTGACTTGTTTTTTTATATGAAGGGAAGTAATTACTAAATACAAACTGGGCAAAGAAATAACTGTTTTCCTTCCCTTTGACCAAGAAAATATAAGTTTGTCGATGACAAAAATAGATTTTAGTCCACCCCAAGTTATATTACACAAAACTTTTTTTTTAATCAAAAAATAAAAAAAACTAGTCACACTCCACCCCCCCCCCCCCTCTTTATGGCTACACATGTCACCTGTACTAACGCTATTATTTAGGCATATGGGCCACTGCCCAAAGACATTTTGTCACCAAAAACCCTGTAAAAGAAGAAAAAACTGGCTTTTTCTGGGCCACAGGATTAATATGCACTCATGCAGTTTCTGGATCACTTTTTTTTGGGTTCATTGATTTTAGTCTTCACCGTTTACCACCTGTAAACTCCAGAGTAAAGTTCTGGTTGTTCATCCACCTTTGGACTCTAGTCTTGTTTCAGAACCTGATTTGTGCATGCACATCCATTTTACAGATCTGACTTCTTTGTATGCAGACTGTTGGTTCCTTATCTCTCAGGCAGAAGCACTCAGACTTTGAAGGAAGACTCCAATAGTTGACTCCTACAACATGCTGTTTCTAGAGTCAGTGGGTCTATTCTTGTTTTTCCCACAATGGGGGCACAGAACCCACAAGGGGAATAACAGTCTTATTTGTTCAGAGATAATTTACTCTTATTTGTTGATAGATCATTTACTCTATTTGTGCATAGATAAAATGCTCATTTGATTCCTTGTTGATAGATTATCTTTGAATTGTACAAAATTGTCTGCTTTCAGACATCTAACAAGGACTGATAAGTACATAATAAGCAATTGCTTTCTCAAACATTATACAAATATCCAGCAGAACCTTTTCAGTTCACTTACTGTTGTCTGGGGGAAACAGCTTTGTTAGGCTGCATTGCATTGATTTCCTTACATATTTATTAGTTTTGTATCATTTTACAAATAACTTAGGGGTTGGTTCTGCATGTTCATAGTGACTTCACTAGCCATTGGCCTTAAATCCTTAGGCACATGATCCCCTTGTCCTGTTAAATTACGTCATTGGGTTGGGATGGAATTCACAAGCTTTTCTACAGTGTTTTTCTAAGGACCGGGATGATCTAAGCACGAATACGTTAGATTTAAATATTTCAATACCAAAGAACACATCTTATGTTCATAGGTTTCTCCTAGAAGCCCAGTGATTACGCCTCTCTGTACTACCCTTTAGGTCTCTGATGCTAAACCCCCAGGGACTGAAAGAGTTAAAGGTTACAAAAACTTGGGGACTTCCAGCCAGCTTGGTAAATGGATATGATATCTAATCTTCTTTATCACTTGAGACGAGAAAGAGAATTCTTAAAAGCTGTATTAATCTTATCTTGATATGTGAAAGTGAATCATGGACAGTTAGTAAAATTAGTGAAAATGTATTTTGGAGATGGGGTTTTATAGGCGAATGATGAGATTACCCTGGACAGATAAAAAAAAAAAGTAATCAGGACGTCTTGAAGGAAACTGATTGCCCACATCAGAAAGAGTCAATCTGCATTCTGTGGTCATGTGATGAGAAGGAGAAAACTGGAGTACATCGTGACAGCAGGAAACGGAGGAGAGGAGAGGCAGAAGGAGATGGAGAGAACAGTTGCTGGACAGTTTGACATCATTCTCTCAAATGTTGGTGTTTGTGACCCTATCACAACATTTGCCTTCTGTCCCCTTGGCTTCTATCTCTCTGTCGAGTCTGCCATCATCTGTAAATATGTTTTCTAGATATTTGAAGGTAGGTTAAAGCCAGAAAATCATCCTCATTGCCCCAGGTTATCCCAAATAGCTTACTCTCTTTCCGCAGAATGTCTAGTCCACAAGGGACTGTGATAAACATTCTGGTGTTTTTAGTTGGCACAGGAGTGGAGCAACTATGAGGTGATCCGTTTGCTATGAAGCTGAAACTAAGATTACCAGAATGGCTAGCTGTCTGCCAGGAGTGTCTCAAAAAAGCATGAATTCCATATCTCCATCAATGATCCGCAGTAATTTCTGTAAAATCTGTGCTCATGAACTGAGCAAATCCGTGAAATGAACTCACAGCCTTCAGAGTGCTGGGCAAATGGCTTGGCTTCTTTGCCATGGAGATGGTTGTCAGTCAACTTTGTGGTTTGTTGAAACCAAAGTCTCTTGTCTTTCCCATTTTTATTAAACATCAAGTGGTGAAAACAGGGGTGACTGTAGTCAAGCTAATAACAATAAATTAATCCAATGAACTGTGACTGTAAAGCTAAATGAAAAAATTTGTTTTTGAAAGAAAAATATGCACAAAACAGTCAGATCGACTTTTTGGGCAGAGCCTTTCTTGAGATGAACTAACTACACAACAATGACAAAGGGGAAAGTACTTCAACCACGAGTGCCCACCATGGGTCATGTGAAAAACTATAAAATAATGGGCAGAGAAAAGGGTGATGTGGAATGAAAAAAATAAAAGAAAGCTCGAAATTTGTCATAAAAGTAATAGTCGTAATATATAAAAGTATCAGAAATAAAAGAGTCGTAGGAATTCAAATGACTGGTACTAATAAAAGATGGATTAAAATCATAATAATATGAAATATATAGGCCTAGGATGCATCAGTGTTTAGTACCTTCATCTTAACAGTTTTACTGTTTTCAGGTTCTTTCTAGTTTATTTTGTTTTATTTTGTATTTTTGTTTTATTATTTTTATTTTTAAAAATATTTTATATTGGGGCAGAATGTTAGATAGGCCTGCGTGCCCAGTTCTTAACCCTTTGAGAGAGAAGAAAAAAAAAAAGGTTGTTCATTCCTTTTCTTTTTAATGTTCACTAGCTGTAAACTTCAGTGGAACGTTCTGGTTGTTCGTCCACTTCTAAACATTGGTCTTGTTTCAGAAAATAAGTTCTGTGTGCACATCCATTTTACAGATCTGGCTTATTTATATGCAGATTGTACTTCAACTTCAAAGGAAACACCCCTAATTAGTGACCCCCCCCCCCCCCCTCCCCCACCCGTAGTTTCTAATTAGGGCCCTTGAATACACACGAGAACCAAGCCATATAAAATGAGGTCAAAAGATTCATAAGGGAGAGGAAAGTAGTTAAGAAATGGAGTTAATCACCCCATATCATACACTGTAATCTAGTATTATGTGAAGGCCTGTGATTTTATCCTAATACATATTTCCTTTTATGATATAGTTTCTGTTAATAATTAAATGACTGTGGATATTTCCTAGTGGGTGCGCAGTGATACATTTGTTGCATGCTGTCAAATTAATGTATATCCCTGACAGGGACTACTTCTCCTTTTCCAGCCGACAGCTGAGCAGAGTGATGCGGTTGCGGCCGGGCCTGCGTACAGTCATCTGGATCTACTTTGTCTTCCTGCACATCATGCTGATTGCCTGCTTTGGTGGATTCTTGTGATCTGGCGCCGTGGCTTAGGTTTTAGTGTCTGAATTTGAGACTCATGCTTTTATATTTTTTTCATAGAAGATCGAAAATGGCTGCTGCCAGCTTTTCCTAAAGTTGGTATCTGTTGTGTTTGTTGAAGGGAGAACTGGCTGTAGAATGGCTGTTAACATTTAGCTGATTTGAATGCATTAAAAGGGAACATTTGTATTTTATACTAAATGTACGGGTAGGCATGGCTGAGAGGGACTGGTGTCCATTTCAGGCACAGAAGGGTTCAAATACCACATTGTAGCTGGGAATCTTGACATGAATCAGTGGTTTCTAAAGAACACATCCTGTGATCTCTAGGGAAGTAAGATGGAGACCTAACCTTCTCAGATAATGGTGAGACAACAAAAAATAATGTCTGCATGTTTTGCATATTAAAATCCTGAGCTGTACTAAATGTCCACTTATCTACTAGTTGAAAAGGTGACTTTTTATAACCAGATTGTATGGGATCAAATTGTTACTATTATTGTTTAATTATAGTTTGGTAATCTTTATGTAGACACTTTGTTGTAAATGCCTTAGTTATGTATGTTAATATTGCAGAATAGGTTTCCCTTCCACCATACTTAAGCCAAACATTGTATTTTAATAATTTTAACGTAGCATTTAGTTTTTTTTATAATGGTACTATAATAATGTTGTTATGAATCTTCACCTGCACAGAGCTGCAGCAGTCACAAACTGCAGCAGTCACAAGCTGCAGCAGTCACAAGCTGCAGCAGTCACAAGCTACAGCAGTCACAAGATGCAGCAGTGGGAAGTTGCCATTACTAGTGTCCCAGTTATCATTTCTTTGGAGGTTGAATGGGATATCTGGGATTTGCTTTATTGGTCTGCAGTCCAGGAGAAGACTGGGCTTTTAAATTAGAAGAAGAAGCTATGATGCATGCCTCTATATGTATTGAAAATTGACATGTAAGAAAAGTAACCCACTGAATAAGTATGTTCTTTTCAGAAAATATGACCTATTATAACAGTTGTGTATGAAAAAAAATTGGTTTTATATACTTTGTTATGATATCTGATGACAGAGAGTTTTTGAGAGTTATGACTGTTGACGTCTGCTCCAGAACCAGGCACTTGAAGAGGACGAGTGAGAAGCTGTTTTTCCTTTAGGGAAAATTTGAGAAAAGTAGCCTTTATGATTATTGTGTGACAATTGAAAGGAGAAAAGTATTGTATTATTGTGTACAGATGGAAAGGATTGATGTGTTTGTGTGAGAGATAACTGTTGCAGAGGATATGCCTTGGCCTGGTTATGTACATAGAGTGTATATATTTCATAGAAGGTTATTGATTACAGATTAAGAAGGTTTAGAATTGTAATAGCTTTAATATGCTTTTTTCCTCATATTCTCCCAAGTTTAGTTGAATGGTCACTGTTGACTGGGGTTCTGTTTATTTAGGGGCATTGACATAAACATGTGTATGTGGGTTGCTGCCAGTAGATATATGTGGGATATTTTGTGGCTTTACGGGCTTTCTATAAATGTACATTGTTGTACTGTTGTATTGCTGTTAGTGACATACTGTTGTAAATGTTACGTGCTGTCGTCAGTGTCTGGGGAATTTAAAATTTGAGAGTACTGCCCACAAAAATACCTTGTTAATGTTATTCTGTCTGCAAGGGGGGAAAAAAAAGTCAGTTTCCATTTTGATACTGGATATATGATGTGCAATCTTTCGAGACATCTTTATCAGGACATAACATACAAGTTATTGAAAGAATGTGAAATGCTCTCTTTGACTAAATGTTAGAAATTGGCAAAGTGCATGTTAGAGAACAGTCAGTTCAGGTACATTTTAACAGCATTACATACTAAGTCATCTGTTATTAAATGTTAGTCCTTCATTACAGAAAGTGTGTATCTTTTCAAATGACAAACAATTTATGTTCCTGATATTTCATGTAGTAGGTCCTTGTCATTGGTTGATGGCTGGTCTTGAAGGGAAGATCCAACAGAACACTGCTCTTCTGATCTGGCAGCTTCTGCAGCATGTTTTATTCTGAAAAGTATGGGTGTTACCTTTCCTTTGGAGTAAACAAAGTAAGCAGAGAGAGAGAGAGAGATCATGCTGCATGGAAAGACAGATGATCTCTGCAGTACTGCCCAGGCGTTATGCCATGGCGAAAATCACTACTGGCTGTGATTCCTATGTCTCCCATGTGTTAAAACACTGCCGTCTGGAAAGAAAGAGGTGCCAAAAATTTCACTTGTCAGGCAGAGGCTTGCTCTTAATATATCTTCTTAACTCATTAATCCGAATTGGTAGCTTTACTTCTTTTGTCAATAGCCTTATCGTGTTAGCATCTTTAGACTAAAGAAATTAGCTTCTTTAAACTAGATTTTCTCAGAATATAAGGAGTTAAGGAAGAATTTTACATGAACCTTCAAAGTGGCTTGCTGTGATCTGTTTCTGTTTACTTAGAAACTTCATCCACCTGCGAATTGCGAACATTCTTTTTTTTTAAGGTTGAAAGTATATTGATTTACATGATAGGCTGGTTCCACATGACAATGCGTGATATGTTGCATTATTGTTTATAATAGAAAATAAAACCAGTGAGAAGTTTTACCTTGTGATTTTGATGCCAGTACAGTTATTTGTGTTCCGTGAAAATAATTAACATTAACAGGTTAATTGTAAATTGAAATTAATTAATAATGAGTACTTTTGATTATCTCACGGAAAACTGTATTTATTCATGTAAATTTGTGTGTGCTCGTACCTGTGTGAAGGTGTGTGAGCCCACACAAACATTTCTGCGCTTTCAAGCATTTGTGTACATATTCAAATTGTGATAAAGTGTGAGTGTGTCACTTACCACTGTTTGTATCAGGCAGTGGGAATAACTGTATCATGGTGTGTTGATCGCAGAGTATGGGGTGTAAAGTTGAGTTGATAAGGGGGAAAGTGGTAAAATGTCCTATTTACCCTCCATTAACAGGTAAATGTATCTTGTGTATTTATTTAATCTAAGCAGCTTTTTGTGTGTTTCTTGTTTCTTTTTGCCGAACCAGGGCAACTTCCAGTGATGATATTTAACAGTTTCATGGTGTTGTTACTTGGGACATTCCATTCAGTGGCATAGATGAATCACGCAATCATTTTTTTCATTTGCAACTTCTTAAATTATTTTTTTTTTTAAAGAATACTTTTTTATCTTGTATTTCTTTGAGGTTATATCCTAATCATATTAAACTGCAGATTATTTATTATCCAGTACTTTCTATGTTAATTTTTAGCTTCAATATTTACATGTCCATGACTGGACAAACATGCCACCAGAAATTACCAGATTGATTTAATATTGTTTCTTTCATGTTGTCAGATTGAGTGAATTTTTGCCTTCATATTGCTAGAATTTTTGCTTTGCACAGTTACCCCGATTTGTTTCCTGTATATTTGCACATTTGACTCATTCGTCCAGTATAAGGGAACATCTGCGGGAGTCTGGCCAAATGGTTTCATTTAGAAGTGCAGTGTATCAGTGTGTGAGATTATTAAATGGATAAGTGAAAGATTATTCTATGGATAAGTGTGTCAGATAAGTCCTTTTTTTTTTTTTTTAAACGAGCAGTACATTCCTAGTTTATCACTTGACGTTTGTTTTAGAATATTCCTGATCAGGGTTGGGTTTACTACTGTCTCTTTATCTGTCATGTCTCATTACTGGTGTCACTTGTCTGCAAAATCATGTATTTTTAGACAAACTTATCTCAGAGTTTATGTTTGTTTGACATGAGCTTCCTAATAGTTCTCCTTGCTCCCCCCACCCCTTTTTTTTAAAAATTGTCATTATCAAATCTTCTAGATTTACCTTATATTCATTCTCTTGTTTAAGTGTTTGTATCAAGTCACTGTATATGTATATAAAATGTTTTCTTTAATAATTTCAATGACAGATACAATATTTGATTTCTTTTTTTGGTCATTTTGCTGTAAAAATATGGATGGTTGTTATGAAATGACATTGAGAAAAATCAGTGTATTAAAATATATATTATTTTATTGATTGTTCTGTTGGCTCATGGTGTGAATGAGGTTGTGAATGAGGTTATGAATGAGGTTTATAAATGAGGATGTGAATTAGGTTATGAATGAGGTTGTGAATGAGGTTTATAAATGAGGATGTGAATTAGGTTATGAATGAGGTTGTGAATGAGGTTATGAATGAGGTTTATAAATGAGGATGTGAATTAGGTTATGAATGAGGTTGTGAATGAGGTTTATAAGTGAGGTTGTGAATGAGGTTGTAAATGAGGAATAACAAACAAATTAAAGAGCTGTTTCCTTGAGGTTTGTTGGGTCATTGGTGCTAGACCCAATTTTTAGTAGACCAGTTGTCCTTCAGCGGATGATGTGTTTATAACATACTGACTGCCTTTACTTCCCAGAACTTTTCTGGAAGTCTGTTTAGGTTAAATTGACCTTGGAGTGTAAGTCAGTTTGAGAAAGTTAAAAGGAGTTTTAATCGCCGGTCTACCTCCTGTCACCAAATATCCTGCAATGTTAGAACTAATGAGTTAGAATTTAAAACTGACATTTTAGCCCTCAGAACATTCCCTTAAGCTCTCTGTACCCATCTTCAGCAGCAAGTGCAGATTTACAATTCCGCTGGTACATAGAACTAATGAATTAATTGAAAATGTCAGTGGGTGTGGGGGAGGGGAGGGGGGGTGTAAGGAAGGTAATGAAATCTTATACTATGAACTTGTTTAGCTTATGCAAACATGATAGAATAGAACAGACAAAAAAGTTTTTAAACAGGTGAAATAGGGTTGTTCTCGTAAAGATGTCCCTCATTATGAATCGTGACCCAAATGTTATAAAAGAATGCAGAGAGGAACTGACAAGCAGGAAGTTCTAGAAATTTTGAGGTTTTGAACAACGGATCAACATCATGGCTTTATTCTTGTTCTAACTCAAACCTGAGTCTGAAGAAGCTCAGCACAGTG